CCGTTGCCGTTTCTTAAAAAAAAACAGAGACAGCTACTTGGAATTACACAACTAAATCGTAAAGTGCCCGGTGAAAATTACAGGATAAAAACAATATATTTACATTATCGGAAATCATAGAATTTATTTGTACTCGCTACGAAACAGAAGAAAACTCGGCGAGCATTCGTCCTGTTTCTACAGTTCATACAAATAAATTTTATATTTTCCGACAATGTACATATATCGTATATTTATTCTCGTACACCAAAGAAGTACAATGGTAAAGAAACATATACACATGCATAGTATAGAATTATTCCTATGCAGATGTTTACACCATGTCCATTATCATACAAGAATCATATTAATCAGTATGTTTAATCAGTGATCAAACTGATAACAATCATGTTTATCTTTTATCTAAATACCTATTAAATGTTCTCCATTAATGTTCTAAGCATTAATTAGATATAAGAAGATGGTGGTATGAGTGCCAATGAGACAACTCTCCGTCCAATAGATATAAGAAGATGTGGTATGAGTGCCAATGAGACAACTCTCCATCTAAGTCAAAATTTATAAAAGTAAACCATTATAGGTCAAAGTACGGTCTTCAACACGGAACCTTGGCTCACACCGAATAGTAAGCTATAAAGGGCCCCAAAAATTGCTAGTGTAAAACCATTCAAACGGGAAAACCAACGGTCTAATCTATATAAAAATCGAGAAACGAGAAACACTTATGAACCACATCAACAAACGACAACTACTGAACATCAGATTCCTGACTTAGGACAGGTGCAAACAAATGCAGCGTGTTGAAACGTTTTAATGGTACCAAACCTTCACCCTTTTTCTGAAACAATAGTGTAACATCACAACATAGAAAGACACACTGTCTACTTTCCATAAGGACGTATAACTAACATATAATATACGTCCTTGACTTTCCAGAATTATTCTTCTGCAGATATTTACAACTATATAAACCATGTCAATTATTGTACAGGGATTATATCACTCAATCAGTATGTTAAATCAGTGATTAAACTTATAACAATCATGTTTAACTTTTATCAAAATACCTATAGTCTTCTTTTTAATGTTCTTAGCATTATGTCTACCCTGTGGTTATCAGATTTACTTATCGGAGATTAGACAAGGTCCATCGAGGTCATGTGATCAATCGAGGTCATGTTGAAGGTTTTAAATCGTTGATTTCCTTTCAATCATTGTATATATCTTAATTAAATCCGTAATGGGTCGAAATGATTTCCCATCAATTCCATCATCGAACTTAGGTTGGTCGCCACAGAGAATTATTTTTCAATGCGTCCTACTAACAGTCCTATTTCTCAGACGAACTTTTAGGAATTCTGGTTCTCAAGTTTTTTTTCCTCCAAAATTGATCGTATTTCGCGTTGTTTGGAATGAATATTAACGCCGACTAGCTTCACACTAGTTTGTTTGAAGCGTAGATTAAATAAACCCATATCACTTTTTACTTAACACATCTAAGATTCACCTCACGTTTGATGATCGTACTGTAAACAAATTAACGTTGTAGATTTATAGATATTTAAATATTAATCTTTTAAAAGATTTTGTTTTAGATCGGTTTTATACGAATAAAGTACTAAGAGATATATACATTCATGTTTGTCCATTTTTATGCTTTTAAAAGCGGAGGGTTTACAGGGATGGTGGTGCCCAGTTTGTTCGTTTTTTCGTCCCACTTTTGTATCAGCTACTGTTCATGAACAGAATTTGGTCAAACTGCGACTGTTATACAAGTGCATGAGAGGTTTAGCTATCTGTAAAACCAGGTTTAATCCACCATTTTCTGCATAAGGAAATGCCTGTACCAAGTCAGGAATATGACAGTTGTTTTCCATTCATTGGGTGTTTTTGAGCTATTCATTTTGCCTTTTTATGGGGACATTCCGTTTTGGGTTTCCCCTTGGAGTTGGGGATTTTTGCTACTTATATTTTACCTTTTTCTCATAGCATCCTAATCACATGATGTAATTTTCTTAAATTTGGCGGGAAATGATTCTCTCTAGATTTTTCATACACTTAACATTGGCATTGTTTTTCTATCAAAAACAATGAAAAAATAACAAGGATTTAATAAGATTTTCAAATATGGCTTTTTAAACTATTTGTAATAAAATTATGAAAAGAAAAGTAGGGGTTAGCGGGCAAAATTTTTAATGGAACTACATGGATAAAACCAGAGGATTCCGAATATCTGGCAAAAAATTGAAAACAAGAGGAGCGAACATCCTTAAATCAACATAATAATGTACAACTATGTCGTTGACTTTATAGCTGACCCTATGGTTTAGATCTTAGGCCGTACAGTTACTTATATCCAAGTCATTCGGAACTATGATGGATTGTTGTCTTATTGGCAACCATACCACAGTCATTCGGAACTATGGTGGATTATTGTCTTATTGGCAACCATACCACAGTCATTCGGAACTATGGTGGATTGTCGTCTTATTGACAACCATACCACATCTCCTTATTTATATAAAATAGAAACTGTTTATACCTTGAAAGCATTTCACTAACCAAGTGAATATAAAATCTACATGTAAAATGATCACGTACTCTGATCCTGTTAAATAGAACAAAATACCAAAACTTTAATAACTTATACATATATAAAAGATATGCTTACGGAAGCGTGATACTAATCATAGATATAGGAAGATGTGGTATGAGTGCCAATGAGACAAATATTACTAGTTTAAAACCATTCAAACGGGAAAACCAACGGTCTAACCTATATAATAACGAGAAACGAGAAACATGTATGAACTACATAAACAGACGACAACTACTGTACATCAGATTCCTGACTTAGGACAGGTGCAAACATTTGCAGCGGGATTTAACGTTTTAATGGTACCAAACCTTCTCCCTTTTTCTGAAACAATTGTATAACATCACAACATAGAAAGACACACTATAAAATATCAATTGGAAGGCTTAACTCAATCAAAAAACAAAAATTAACACACAATGAACGAATAACTTTGATCTGTGATACCTGAATGCAAATACATAGTTAATAAAAATTATAAGGGATAAATAACTAAGGTCTGGAACTAATCCCGAAATATATAATTCCTTTAATAAATATCATTAGGCAATATGGTTGTTTTACACGCAGATTGAAATCAAAGACTATTAAATAACAGTGGTCATGTTTGTCGTGCAAAGGACTATACAATCTATAATTACAATACTTCTTTGACTTCAAATGAGATTATCTTAAGTAAGTTTAAAGGAAATATTTATTTTCTCTGTTGCTGTTTAATTATGTTCAGTTAACGAAAATAGAAATACATTGTAGTACAACGCACTGTGGTTTCAGTTCGTACTGGGTACGGCATACTAATTAGTTTTAATAGTACTATAGTCCCAAATTGGAAGCCAATTTGTCTACATTCCGTAAGTGTCATAAGTATCCATTTTTGATTCGTAGAAAAATTCAGTTTGAAGAACAATATTTTTTTAACTTTAAGATATAAAATGTAAAGAGAACTAACACAAACGCTTGTAACTCAACATCTTCATTGAAGCAATCTGAATCTCATTCCTGATCCTCCCATTTTACCCACTCTAGAAAAGCTTGTCAGTTGTTTGATTTTAAATTCGACTTTGTCCTGAATATGCATGAACTATTTGTCACTGGACGTTTAGTTAGCACTAATGAATCATTTATATTGTATTTTTTTTATAATTCAAATCAAACAATAAATAAGCATATTATACGCTGCATTGATCTAGAGTTTTTCGTATGAAATTATAGAATAACAGTTTTGAAATAATTTAACCTTTAAGGATGTTTGCTCCTCTTGTTTTTTATTTTTTGCCAGATATTTGGAATCCTCTGGTTTTATCCATGTAGTACCATTGAAAATTTTGCCCGCAAACCCCTACTTTTCTTTTAATAATTTTATAACATATAGTTAAAAAGCAATTTTTGAAAATCTTATAAAATCCTTGTTATTTTTTCATAGTTTTTGAAAGAAAAAAGGTGCCAATGTTAAATATATGAAAATTCTAGAGAGAATTATTTCCCGCAAAATTTTCAACGGCTTGTATCTCGAAAACAAGCACACGGACCCTTCATTTTTCTGTTTTTTCAGTTCCTTTATTTATATACTATATCAATTTATAACAGTCTTTTAAAAATCTTGTTATTTTAAAACAGAGTAATGAGTATCAAAGTTATGGACGATTTTCTTGAAGGCGATACTTAGTTTTAGAATATTGAATAAAGTATGACTCTGATTTGCTTCGACACAACACCTTTAAAAAAACATAAAAAACAATATTCACTTGAAGTTTAGCAAGTCTTTGCATACAAAGTTTGTAACCAATACATCTTTTGCAAACGTTAATGACTTGAATTGCATTTTTACAGATATGAAACAGTATGAATTTCATTGAAAAAATGGACGCATAAATAATAGATCAATTAATAGATCAATAATAGGAACTTGAACAAAATCTAAGAAAAAACATCTAAGTTGAGAACCGAGTTCTGAAAGTTAATTGATTATACGAGTTAATTTGAGATATAAATTTTGTCGTTAATGTTTCAGTTACATGTGCGTTCAGCATATATCATTTCCCTTTCTCGATGAGACATTTATCAATATATGCATAAAGAAAGCTTATTCATTTGTTTATCTGACAATGATTCAACACAGAATGTCATAACGAGGTTGTTGGACCCGGAAACGAGTCTGATCAAATAGTTATTATTTTTCAAAGGCACGTTTAATGTCTATCAATCTTATAATTGAAACATAGGTCCGAGACTAATCGTTTGACCCCCTGACACGCTAAAAAGATAAAATGTATAATTGTAATCCATTAAATTCTCATTTACGACGATTTGAATGTTACGACTATCGTAAGTTGTCATAAAAGCTTAAAAGTGACACCTATATTATATGGTGTAATTTAAAGGGGCGTAACTGTATTCTGTAACAAATAAGAAATCTATTTCACATTATAAGACGTATTCAATTTAAACGGTATACAGATCGGAGTTTTAGAAATACCTGTAAAACAAACTACAAGGAATAAGCCGTAACATTTTATAGGTAAATATTTTCTTTATAGTCTGGAATATTTTAAGTTTATACCTTGTTAGCGGACTAGCGTTTTTAAATATCTTTAAGTAAATTAATCAATGCAAAATATGTAACCAGCTTTGATATTCTTGAATTCGATCTGTCAAATTGAACACCACAGTGACATTCACGTTTTGTTTGAACTAATTGATATTGAATATACTTGTAATGTTATGCCTTCATTAAATTAGTTGACAAAACCAAGTTACTTTAAATATACAGCAAATTAATACCACACCGTAATTAACTGCTTTTAAATTGTTGTTTTATTTAATTATGTACAAGTTTTTCGCTTACTTACAAAAAATTTACATTGCTCAAGAATAGGTATTAAAACATAATTAAGGATAAGAGAATCCGACAAAAAGTTTGTGCACTAATTCATTTTAAAATCATTGACAATTCAAATTAAGATTTAGGGTTCTAATACACCTATGGTTACACAATGCAAATCACAGGACAATTGCGTGACATATCAGATAATATAAAAAAAAAATAAGCAGTAGTGGTTAATAGCCAATGAGACAACTATTTAGCAGAGTCCAGATGACTATGTTAACAACTATAGGTCACCTTCATGAATGAGCAAAACCGATACGATATATACGTTCAGTATATGCAATTTATTTTGGGGTGTTTATCAAGTTCATTATTTAACTTTAACAAATCACTATTTCACGCGACCGAAAATATTGATCTTGCATAAATTGACCGAAAATACTGATCTTGCATACATTGAGAAATTTAGAGCCTTATTCGACTCCTCACTAACGAAATTCAATTCTCGTAGGTGAGGAAGATTAAAAAAAAAATTCTTTATCTTGCATAAGGAAGCTCTATTCTTTCTCAGCTTCGTCGCTTTAACTTTTTTTCTCTGCCTAACGTTTACTAGTGACCTGCGCAATGCCTGTATTGAAACATATCTTAACTGGTTTATCTGTTGATGACATTGCGATGTTATGTATTGATGTCTTAGCATCAACGAAATAATGCTATGCTATATATGAGAAATGTGCAAAGAGGTCATCTTCAAAGTCATATTACATAGATAATTCATTGAACTTTTAGATGAATGTTTCTTTTTTATATCAATTAATATAACATATGAGATTGTGATCTCATAGACTAAATCATTTGATCTATATCGTCTTTATTTTTACTATATAGTACATAACGCTTTACATACATTAAGCACCGGTTATTTTCTTGTGTGTTGTTTACGTGTTTCTTCTTATATATATATATATTATTAATCGAATATTTTTAAGGATTTGTGATTCGTTAAAACTTGATCACATGTACATTTGTATTTGCTCAGTTTGCACGCCAATACTGTTGTGTTTAGCTTTTCGTAGGTCAAAAACAGCATATTGCACAGAGCATACAGCATGTTACTAAAAATAGATTCTAGAAATCCCCAATTTTACATTGTTCATGCAATAGTTGTTGATTAATAATATAACAATTGTAGCCTTTGGTTGAGGTCAATACGATGTTATATCGACCCAGAGAAGCATATCGACCTCGGACTTCGTCCTCAGTCAATATGCTTCTCTTAGGTCGATATAACCTCGTATCGACCTCATACAAAGGCTATAATTGTATAGTATTAAGACTGAATGGCATATAGAAAATTCCACTCAAATACGTGCTTACAACCGTTTTGAACTTACAATGAATTATGAGCTTTTGCTTAATGCATCAATACGATTTTGAAATGAAGAATAGCTTTGCTTTTTATTTTGTCAAGTGTGTATAGAGATTTTGTGTCACCAATATATAACATATCCCAACTTATCCACATTTATATCATAAACGTGGCAAATCTTCCGTATTTTTGTTTCACTCATGAAACCCGAGAACTATTAAAGTCTTAAAGAAAAAAACAGAATAATGGAACATCTTTAGTTTTTAAATTTGAGGTTTGAATGTTCCTAATGAATTGAATCCAGAAAATCACTTCGGAAGCACCAATTTTATAAAGTGATATTTTCACTTTGAAAAATCTGAATGATTTCATAGTATGATTACCAAATTATGAGACAACTATCCACCAAAGTTCACACAAAGTGGATGTAAGCAATTATAGGCAACCGTACTGCCTTCAACAATGAGAAAAACCCATACCGTATAGTCGGCTATAAAAGGCCCCGACATGAAAATTATGAAACAATTCAATTGAGAAAACTAACAGCCTAATTTATAACAAAACAATTTACGAAAAACAAATATGACAGACATGAACCAACGACAACCACTGAACTACAGGCTCCTGACTTAGGACAGGTACATAAAGAATGTGGCGGGGTTAAACATGTTTGTGAGCGCTCAACTCTCCCCTAACCTGGGACAGTGGTGTAACAACACAATATAAGAACAAACTATAAAAATCGGTTGAAAAAGGCTTAACTCATCAGATTGATACAAAGAAGAGAAACACCAAACATAAACACAGACCGGACGTGGCAGGGTATTTATCCATCCCTCATTCCGTACAACAAAAAGGACACTAAGTACAGATCTGAGAGTACTCGCAGTTACTGACAGCTAGTTCAAAGCCAATAACAACTAATATGTTATTCCTACTTTGTTGTTTATTTAGTGGCCCTTTGATATCTTCTCATTCTTTTAGCACCGAAAGACACAAAAAACCTGAAACACATTAATTTGTATACATAAAAGACAACACGTGACATCCTTTATGATAGTGTTTATGTATGATCCTAACCTTTTGTTTGTCCGATCAAAATTCAAAGGGAGATAATTGAGATCTCAGAAACACGCATATCCATGATCTTGATCACAAGTCATAATTGATTGATTAATTGCTTAACTATATTCGGTGTTTGTTTTTTGTTATATCTTACAGTTTGAGGTTAATTTTGACAGATCTATGTTATAATGAGTTATTCATCTTTATCTTATACAGACAAAATATGATGTTAGTTGATTTGTTTTGTAAGGTTGCTGTCTCATTGAATTTAACTTCACATCTCGTTTAAATCATAAAACGTACAATTTTCGAACTATTGCAAATCTCATTCGTCGTATAAATTAATTACTTAATCAAAATGAATTTGCATGATTGAATGAATTGATCAACACATTATTCTGAAATCTTTGTCACAGAAAGTGGACCGATACACAGGCTGTATTTCAAATTAGTCTATAATTAACTCGAAAGCAAACATTTGACACAGAATATCATCATTGTAAAACTTTGATTATTAAAGTATAAAATATGCGTTCCCACATTTGGTTTAAAAAGACTTTACGAAAAGGTTATATGCTGAAAGGATGCCGTAATATTTCTTCACACACGCAGTGATTTGTTATAGAACACGATGTAATTTTCTCGCTGACGTAGATTTATACAAATTGGAGAAATTTGTAAAGTACTTGAGAACAACGAGGTACACTTTAAATCGTTTACTCTATACCTATAGACTGTTAATGCTGAGCGTTTAACTCTACCCACACACTGTAAACACTGAGCGTCAAAATGATAATCCTCTACCTACAGTCTGAAAACGCTGAGAGTGAAAATGTTAATTCTATCTACAGACAGTAAACGATGAACGTCAGAATGTTTATTCTTATCTGCAGACAGTCAAATTCTACATGTAACCACAGACTGTAAACACTGAGTCAAACTTTACCTACAGACCGTAAACATTGAGCGTCAAACTCTACCTACAGACCGTAAACGCTAAGCGTCAAGCTCTACCTACAGATCGTAAATGCTGAGCGTCAAATATCTACAGACAGTAAACGTTGAGCGACAAAATCTACCTTCAGACTAAACGCTGAGCGTTAAATTCTACATACAGACCGTAAATGCTGAGGGTCAAGCTCTACCTACAGACCGTAAATGCTGAGCGTGAATCTCTATCTACCGACTATAATCGCAATGAACAAACGGCAACCGGGTTGAACGCTCACAAAAATATCCGTATACGGTGACCCATAACTGTATCGTATGGGTTTTGTTCATTGTTGAAGGCCGTATACGGTGACCTATAACTGTATCGTATGGGTTTTGTTCATTGTTGAAGGCCGTATACGGTGTCCTATAACTGTTTCGTATGGGTTTTGTTCATTGTTGAAGGCCGTATACGGTGACCTATAAATGTATCGTATGGGTTTTGTTCATTGTTGAAGGCCGTATACGGTGACTTATAACTGTATGGTATGGGTTTTGTTCATTGTTGAAGGCCGTATACGGTGACCTTTAGTTGTAACGTATGGGTTTTGTTCATTGTTGAAGGCCGTATACGGTGACATATAGTAGCTGTATCGTATTGGTTTTTTTCATTGCTGAAGGCCGTATACGGTGACCGATAACTGTATCGTATGGGTTTTGTTCATTGTTGAAGGCCGTATGCGGTGACCTTTAGTTGTATACAGCCACATCCTTTGGTTTCTGTTTGATAGTTAAGACAACTATAAATTGGCAATCATACACATCACTGTCATGTTACACTGTGAACACTCTAACAAACATATATTTAGATATAGAATAACCAGTTAGACAGCAACCTAAACTAAGTTTTTGCAATTAGAGTTTGACTTTACTCAAGGTTTTAACTGGTTGTAAACTACATCTTGACTTTACGCAAGGTTTTAACTAATTGTAAACTACAGTTTGACTTTACGCTAGGTTTTAACTAGTTGTAAACTACATCTTGACTTTACTCTAGTTTTTAACTGGTTGCAAACTAGAATTTCACTTTACACTAGGATTATACTAGACTAGAGTTTGACTTTACGCTAGGTTTCAACTAGTTGTAAACTAGAGCTTGACTTTACGCTAGGTTTTAACTAGTTGTAAACTGGAGTTTAACTTTACGCTAGGTTTTAACTAATTGTAACTAGAGTTTGACTTTGGCAGGTTTTAACTAGTTGTAAACTAGAGTTTGACTTTACGCTAGGTTTTAACTAGTTGTAAACACTTTTTTTCATTCATTAAATGAGTGTCTTGAAGTGATGTAATATGGAGAAAAAAAATCTGAAGAATTGAAGAGCACTCGAGACAAGAATTTAAAGTGTCTTTTCAACCTTTGAAAGCTATAGACAGTACATAAGTATATATTCATAGACAAAATAATTTCTAAAGATCGATTTATAATTACAAAACACTTGACATTTATAGGACGATCTAGCAATAGGTACATATACATCATCTGGAGTTTTTTCTTTAGCTGTATGTTGTAACTTTCTTGTCAAGTTTTAGATCATTTCACACAGTGGTCACATGTAAGATAAATTGATTTATTTTCGTTATAAGGTATTTATTTTTCGTTTTGATATGTTTGAGCTTTTGACTTTGCCATTTGATAAGGGACTTTCCGATTTGAATTTTCCTTTGAGTTCGGTATATTTGTTATTTTACTTTCTAATATGATACATAAAGGTTTTTAATTAAAAGTAACTTTTTGTCATGTTTCACGGTCAGTTAATTATTTAGATAAGTCTTTTAATTAACTTTGCATAGAATATTTTGTTGATAAAAAAAGTATAGATGTTATTTAAAGACAAACATCATGAAAAATAAACAATTTAATGTTTTTCTAAATTATAGATAATGTTAACGTTATTTGAGGCGTCATGATTAAGTGGTTTTTCATCAATCATTGGCGTCCGTCGTCTGTCGTGCGGCGTCCGTCGTCTGTCATTCGTTAACTTTTACCAAAATCTTTTCCTCTGAAACTACTGGGCTATTTGGAACCAAACCTTGACACAAAGGTCCTTCGGGTAGCTAGTTAATGATGATTTTTAGTCATTTTTAAACGAAAATTATAGTAAATAAAGAAAAAATGTACACAGAAAAAAAGATCAGCCAAAAAAAAAAAAAAAAAAAAACAGCTAGAAAGCAGTCATGAATTATATATTTTATTGTATAATATTGGATATTGTCCATCGTCGAAGATGAACATTGATGCAGATAAAAGACACAGACTTTATGTATAGCCTTTAGTTTACTGTAATTACATTTTACAGTATTCTTTATTTTTGTTTGTGTACAATGGTGAACTAGTAAAACAATTTCAAACTATTCTTATATCGACCCTTTTTCCACAAAACAGGTACATGTACTTATTGATTAATCTTTTATTCTAAATGCGGATTAAAAGTTTAAGGGAGCTACCATTTGTTTTTTATGGGGGGGGGGGGGGGGGGGGGGGGGGGGGGGGGGGGGCTAGGATGAAATTTCAAAAAAATAGGCAGGACAGGAGTTTTGTGTAAAAAAAAGGCAGGATGAGCAACTTGGTAAAAAAAAAGGAAGGATGAAAATTTGGTTAAAAAAATTCAGGATAAACTAGTAAAAAAAAGGCAGGACCGAATAGAGTAAAAAATAAAAAGGCAGGACAGAGATTACAACTAAAAAAAAAGGCAGGACAACATTTTTCATCCTAACCCCCCCCCCCCATAAAATTCAAATGGTAGCTCCCTAAGTAGATTTTCCTTTTTTTCTTTCAGTCGGAAGAATGAAAAACTATGGTGTCGTTTTAGTTCATGCCTTTACAGTTTATATAGTGGCCTCTGTTGACCCGGAAGTAGTTACAACACACGGACGAATCCGAGGCTTTGAACAGACATCATACAGTAACAAAATTGTTTCTACTTTTCTTGGAATTCCCTTTGCTAAGCCACCTATTGGAGATTTGAGATTCAAACGACCGGAGCCGTTACAAAACTGGTCAGATACGAAACAATGTAAAGTACTTCCAAATTCTTGTCCTCAAATAAAGTTTCACACGTTTAATAATACTGCTGGTCAAATTGGCGAAGAAATGTGGAATTATAATACAAATAGTAGCGAAGATTGTCTTTATTTAAATATATGGAAACCAAAAACAACCTCAGGGAATAAGTTGTCAACTCTTGTATGGATATTTGGTGGTGGGTATATTTATGGTACATCAACTCTTGACCTTTACGACGGAACTTATTTATCAGCATACGCCGATGTAATTATTGCATCGATAAACTACAGAGTCGGTCCATACGGGTTTTTATATATGGGTAATTCTGAAGCGCCTGGGAATGCAGGACTTTTGGACCAAGTTGTTGCCCTAGAATGGATTTATAATAATATAGACTATTTTGGTGGCAGCAAAGATTCTATAACTATTTTTGGCGAGAGCGCAGGAGCTGCAAGCGTTTCTTATTTAATGGCGTCAGATTTATCGAAGAACTATTTTCAACGAGCAATTTTACAGAGTGCTTCGTTACTTTCCACGTGGGCATATCAAACACCAGACGTTGCGATGGAATACGCCCATCTTTTAGCTGATGAAGTTTCTTGTGGAGGAAAATCCGCTTTAGAAACTGTTCAATGTTTACGACAGGCTTCAACAGACGATTTAACTAATAAAGCATGGAATCTTCCCATGACCCATGTGCAGTGGCCTTTTGCACCTACGCTCGATAATTATTTTATTCACAAGAGTCCTACCGAGATTATGAAAACTGATTATTTTGCAAATAAAGACATTTTATTTGGTTTCAATAGAGATGAGGGAAGTTTTTTCCTTTTATACTATTTAATAGACAAAATGAATTATCCTGCTAGTAAAAATATGAGTCGGAAGAATTTTATAGAGGAAATTCCAAATATAGTATCACTCGACGGATTGTCTCTTATTAACGGTGACAAAGACAGATTGCTTTTTGATGCAATGTTGTTATATTACAATGCTTGGAGTAATGTGACTACGTCAGACTACTACTTCGATGTCTTAGATGATATAGGTAAGTGTCCTTCAGGAAATGAGAGAACATATCACATGTCAATTAAAAGTGAGGTTCTGGATGGGTGTTTTTCCATTTCTGTATTCTTTAGTTTTTTAGGCCATTATTCTCTATTCTTTATATTATAGCACCTCATCATTCTCTATTCTTTATTTTTTTGGTCCATTTTTCTCTTTTCTTTATATATTTGTCCATTATTCTTTATTCTGTAAATGCCCATCCACACCTTCATAACTAAGTCTTATTGCTAAAAAATTGTTTGTCTTTATAAAATCACAACAACAAATAAGAGGTTCTTAGTTAAAGAAAAAGGCAAATCTATTTTTAAAACATAAAAATAAGGAGATGTGGTAAGCCAAATGAAACAACTACTAAAGATCATCGTACGCGTACGGCTTTTAATAACGAGTAAAATCCATACCGTATATTCAGCTATAAAAGATTCCGACATGACAAAATGTAAAATAATCAACAACCCCCCAAAACAACGTCCTGATTTATGACAAAACAATAAATGAAAATTAAATATGACGAACAGTTTATATTAGGTATTTGAGTTTTTGTTATGTATTAATGTACGACTGTGCAAGCCATTGCTATTGAAATTTAACGAGTTTTGTTAGTTCGATATACAAATAAGGAGATGTGGTATGATTTCCAATGAGACAACTATATATCTACCAAAGTTCAAATGAAGTGGATGTAAGCAATTATAGGCAACCTTACGGCCTTCAACAATAAGAAAAATCCATACCGTATAGTCGGGTATAAGAGGCCCCGACATGAAAAATATGAAAAAAATTAATAGAGAAAAATAACGGCCTAATTCATAACAAAACAATCTACGAAAAACAAAATATGACAGACATGAACCAACGACAACCACTGAACTACAGGCTCCTGACTTGGGATAGGCACATGTAGAATGTAGGGTGGGGGGATTAAACTAGTTTCCTGGCGCCAAACCCTCCCCTTACCTGGGACAGTGGTGTAACAGTACAACACAAAAACAAACTATAAAAATCAGTTGAAAAGGGCTTAACTCATTTGATCGATACAAAGAAGAAAACATCTTACGAAAACACAGACCGGACGTGGCAGAGTATCTATATATCCAACAACAAAAAAGACACTAAGTAAGATCTAAGAGTACTCGCAGTTACTGACAGCTAGTTCAAAGCCAATAACAACTGATAAAAACATGTATATAAGACACAGTATACATCCAACATCCAATGTACTATATTCTCATATCAACTGTTTTTTTTTTTTTTTATTTTTCGTTTTCGCATAAAAAATTATAACATTGAAACGTTCTTTATATTTCCAGAATCTATATTTATCTATGAACTTATGGTTTCTTTTCAGCGGGAGATTTTAATTTCAAATGTCCAGTAGCCGAATTGGCCGAACTACTTAGCCGTTACCCTAACAGAAACGGGACACTTTATGGCTACTATTTTAACCAGTTAACATCAGCACGTGATTGGCCAGAGTGGGCCGGTGTTTTACATGGGGATGAAGTAGAATATGTATTCGGAGTGCCTTTAAAATTAATCGACCGTAAATACAGCAGCAATGAACAGTTTTTGTGTCGAAATATGATGGATTATTGGACAGATTTTGCAAAAACCGGGTAAGAAACTAATATCTCGACAACGCAGTGAGTAGTACGGTGTTGAGACTGATCCTCGACATCGGACTGGCATTTCATTTGTTGCGTATGAGCCTAGATATTGCATGGCTATAAAACGGGTGTGTTTGAGCCTCGATGACATCGTACTGGAATGTCAGTTGTTGTGACTGAGCCTCGACGACATCGGACTGGGGTCTCAGTCGTTGTGACTGACCCTCGACAAAGTTGTTGTGACTGAGCCTCGACATCGCAATAGAATATAAGTTGTAAATGAGCCTCGACATAGCAGTGGGTGTGTTAGCTGTTTGGCCTGAACCTCTGTATCGCAATAGGATGTAACTTTTGCTGATTAAGCCTCGACATTGCACTGGGATGGATTTCGTTGTGACAGAGCTTCGACATCCCAGTGGGGTGAAAGTTGTTTGACTGTGACTAATCCCTGACATCGCAGTGGTGTGTACGTTGTTGTGACTGTGACTGATTCTTGACATTGCAGTGGGGTTTAAGTTGTCGAGAAACAAATGTAGCAGTGGGTAGTTAGTTTTTGTTACTGAGCCTCAACATTACAGTGGGTATGATAAATTGTGACTGAGCCTTGACATCGCAATGGGTAGCAAGCTGTTGTGTCAGAGCTTCGACATAATAGTAATAAGTACGTTTTTTACGACGGAGTCTCGACATCGCACTGGGTTGAAATATATTACAGAATTACTCTACATCAACGTGGCTAGTAAGTTGTTGTGCTGAGCCTCGACATCGCAGTGGATAGACAATCGTTATGACAGAGCTTTATTTAACATCGCAGTGGGTTTACGTTTTTGTGACTTAGCCTCGACATCGTAGTGGGGTGTAAGTTGTTGTGACTGAACCTCGGCATCTCAGTGGGGTTGTTGTGACTGAGCTTCGACATCGCAATGGAATGTAAGTTGTTGTGACTGAGACCGGCATCATGATGTAAGCTGTTGTGACATAGCCTCGACATCGCAGTTGGTTGCAAGTTGTTTCTGACTGAGATATAGCTTATTGCAAATATAATTGCATTGATCTACTACACAAACAGATTTAGGTTTTTTTTTCTATTGTTCATTTGTAGCAGATTATGAAATGGGCATATACTAAGCTCTTTCACCGAGCCATATTTTAAAGTGTTTGCTTTTATAAGGCAGAACCGTCCAGGTCTTTATTAATCTTTTTTTACTTTTGTTTTAAAGGAATTCGATCGAACGTTTTGGTAGTCTTTGTTCATCGTAAATTATGTAGATTTTGGACTATTATTTATCGTTATATATTACAAAAGATCGTTGTCTGTATGTTGAACCCTATATGTTGACCTCTATATGTTTTGTGTCGGTTGATTGCTGTCTCGTTCACAGAATGAATCAAGACTTACACCTATTTCTTCACAGAGTGGAATTTCTAGTGAGAAGTACCTAGGGTCTGGACGAATCAAATTTAAAGTTATATTGTGGGTTCCTTGAAATGTTATATTACCAGTTTGACAATGCTGAATTAACCATGGGTGTTTAAGCGATCAAGAGAAGAAATCGGCATAACCGGTAATGGTGGTGTCTTGAAGCTTTTGCTCTAACCTGAAATCCCCACTTTGACTTTGAGGTAGAACAGCAATAAAAGCCCTGTCCCTCTAGTAGTCAATACCGTGTTGAGATAGATCAGCAATAAAAGCCCAGTTCCTCTAGTAGCCAATATTGTGTTGAGATAGAATAGCATTAAAAGCCCTGTTCCTCTAGTAGTCAATAACGGGTTGAGATAGAACAGCATTAAAAGCCCAGTTCCTCTAGTAGCCAATATTGTGTTGAGATAGAATAGCATTAAAAGCCCTGTTCCTCTAGTAGTCAATAACGGGTTGAGATAGAACAGCATTAAAAGCCCTGTTCCTCTAGTAGCCAATAAAGTGTTGAGATAGAACAGCAATAAAAGTCCTGTTCCTCTAGTAGTCAATAACGGGTTGAGATAGAATAGCATTAAAAGCCCTGTTCCTTTAGTAGCCAATAAAGTGTTGAGATAGAACAGCATTAAAAGTCCTGTTCCTCTAGTAGCCAATAACGTGTTGAGTTAGAACAGCAATAAAAGTCATGTTCCTCTAGTAGTCAATAACGTGTTGAGATAGAACAGCATTAAAAGCCCTGTTCCTCTAGTAGAAAATAACGTGTTGAGTTAGAACAGCAATAAAAGCCCTGTTCCTCTAGTAGCCAATAACGTGTTGAGATAGAACAGCAATAAAAGTCCTGTTCCTCTAGTAGCCAATAACGGGTTGAGATAGAACAGCATTAAAAGCCCTGTTCCTCTAGTAGCCAATAACGTGTTGAGTTAGAACAGCAATAAAAGTCCTGTTCCTCTAGTAGTCAATAACGGGTTGAGATAGAACAGCATTAAAAGTCCTGTTCCTCTAGTAGCCAATATCGTGTTGAGATAGAACAGCAATAAAAGCCCTGTTCCTCTAGTAGCCAATAACGTGTTGAGATAGAACAGCATTAAAAGCCCTGTTCCTCTAGTAGTCAATAAAGTGTTGAGATAGAACAGCAATAAAAGCCCTGTGGAATTAACCATGGGTATTCTAGCGATCGAGAGAGGAATTAACCATGGGTATTCTAGCGATCGAGAGAACAAATCCGCACAACCGGTGCTGGGGTGTCTTGAATCTCTTGCTCTAAGCGGAAAGCCCTTTTTGACTTTTAGATAGAATAGAACAGCAACAAAAGCCCTGTTCCTCTAGTAGCCAATAAAGTGTTGAGATAGAACAGCATTTAAAGCCCTGTTCCTCTAGTAGTCAATACCGTGTTGAGATAGAACAGCAATAAAAGCCCTGTTCCTCTAGTAGTCAATAAAGTGTTGAGATAGAACAGCAATAAAAGTCCTGTTCCTCTAGTAGCCAATAACGTGTTGAGATAGAACAGCAATAAAAGTCCTGTTCCTCTAGTAGCCAATAACGTGTTGAGTTAGAACAGCAATAAAAGCCCTGTTCCTCTAGTAGCCAATAAAGTGTTGAGATAGAACAGCAATAAAAGCCCTGTTCCTCTAGTAGCCAATAACGTGTTGAGATAGAACAGCAATAAAAGCCCTGTTCCTCTAGTAGTCAATAAAGTGTTGAGATAGAACAGCAATAAAAGCCCTGTTCCTCTAGTAGCCAATATCGTGTTGAGATAGAACAGCAATAAAAGTCATGTTCCTCTAGTAGCCAATAAAGTGTTGAGATAGAACAGCAATAAAAGCCCTGTTCCTCTAGTAGCCAATAAAGTGTTGAGATAGAACAGCAATAAAAGCCCTGTTCCTCTAGTAGCCAATAAAGTGTTGAGATAGAACAGCAATAAAAGCCCTGTTCCTCTAGTAGCCAATAAAGTGTTGAGATAGAACAGCAATAAAAGTCCTGTTCCTCTAGTAGCCAATATCGTGTTGAGATAGAACAGCAATAAAAGCCCTTTTCCTCTAGTAGCCAATATCGTGTTGAGATAGAACAGCAATAAAAGTCCTGTTCCTCTAGTAGTCGATAAAGTGTTGAGATAGAACAGCAATAAAAGCCCTGTTCCTCTAGTAGCCAATATCGTGTTGAGATAGAACAGCAATAAAAGCCCTGTTCCTCTAGTAGTCAATATCGTGTTGAGATAAAACAGCAATAAAAGCCAAGTTCCTCTAGTAGCCAATAACGTGTTGAGTTAGAACAGCAATAAAAGCCCTGTTCCTCTAGTAGCCAATAACGTGTTGAGTTAGAACAGCAATAAAAGCCCTGTTCCTCTAGTAGTCAATATCGTGTTGAGATAAAACAGCAATAAAAGCCAAGTTCCTCTAGTAGCCAATAACGGGTTGAGATAGAACAGCAATAAAAGCCCTGTTCCTCTAGTAGCCAATAACGTGTTGAGATAGATCAGCATTAAAAGCCCTGTTCCTCTAGTAGCCAATATCGTGTTGGGATAGAACAGCATTAATTTAAAGCCCTGTTCCTCTAGTAGTCAATAACGTGTTGAGATAGAACAGCATTAAAAGCCCTCTTCCTCTAGTAGCCAATATCGTGTTGGGATAGAACAGCATTAATTTAAAGCCCTGTTCCTCTAGTAGTCAATAACGTGTTGAGATAGAACAGCATTAAAAGCCCTGTTCCTCTAGAAGCCAATAACGGGTTGAGATAGAACAGCATTAAAAGCCCTGTGGAATTAACCATGGGTATTCTAGCGATCGAGAGAGGAATTAACCATGGGTATTCTAGCGATCTAGAGAAGAAATCCGCACAACCGGTGCTGGGATGTCTTGAATCTCTTGCTCTAAGCGGAAAGCCCCCTTTGACTTTTAGATAGAATAGAACAGCAACCAAAGTCCTGTTCCTCTAGTAGTCAATACCGTGTTGAGATAGAACAGCAATAAAAGCCCTGTTCCTCTAGTAGTCAATATCGTGTTGAGATAGAACAGCAATAAAAGCCCTGTTTCTCTAGTAGTCAATAACGTGTTGAGTTAGAACAGCATTAAAAGCCCTGTTCCTCTAGTAGCCAATAACGTGTTGATATAATTATTGTACCATGGATATACTAAATCCCATCTTTAATTATAATGTAACATTCCGACGTTCTTCATTTACATTCTTCCGCGTAACCTTTATGAACATGCATTGTTATGCCCGCATACTTGCATAAAACAAATATCCGTGATATTTACTTTGATCGACATATTCTTTGTTTAATTTGACACACCTGAGATGGTGATACATGTTGTAGCAGGTGTCGAGTTCGAGATGGTGTCGAAAGCACAAAGGTTTCCATAAACATGTTGATCTATTTGAAGTAAAACGATCATTTGGTTTTGAAATTACTATTTTAAGATATATGATCCGTACTTATTTGAAATAAATACTTTTGTGATAATATTATTATGTAACTCCTCCGTGATCAAAAATCAAAGTAAAACAAACTGCACGTTTATTTTGTAGATATTAAAAGATTGTAATTACCAAAGATGTAAGGATAATTTTCTCTGGATTTCTTTTATTTGCATGCAGGATCAAAACTCTAAGGTTGTTTAAATCTACTGGAATTTAAAAAGTTAAAAAGTTAAATTGTTATATATCTCAAATAACGCACAGTTTAAGAAGAGTCAATTTTAATTTATATTGTCTATTTCTAGCGCCATCGGTTTACCCATTGACTGAATTCAAATATTGATGAGTCTATATGAAAGAGAGTTGATCCCTTTACGGAATAAATTCATTTATATATTAGCTTAGACATTAATTGTTGCATTACATTTTTCTTTATGTAACAGAAACTTTTCAACTTTATAGAGGATACAAATTCAATCCAGGCTATTTTAGTCAAATCTGTACCTATAGTTGTTAATTTCTGTGTCATTTGGTCTCTTGTGGAGAGTTGTCTCATTGGCAATCATACCACATATCTTCTTTTTTATATCTACAGCTTAAAACTATACCTTAATTTTCGTGCTTGTTCTCTCTCGTGAAATTCATCCATCAATATGACTGACGAAAAGGAAATATTTCTATTTTTAGACACCCGGAGATTCAAAAATGGAAGCAGTTTACTTCAGATAACCATCAGTACGCTTTATTGCAAGGTGGGAGAGAGATTGCTATGGAAACCATAGACCTAACTAGAACGTGCCTGTTCTGGTCACAGTATATACCACGGTTAAAAAATGCATGTAAGTATAATAATAGTTTATTACCATATGATGAGTTTATATATACAACTTATATATTTTATATTTGATCCATAAACCAGCGTCGTAAATATGCATGAAATATTTGCCACTGGACGTTGAATAAGCAAAAATTAATCATAACTAGCACGAGAATCGATGATAACGAGGTTTCCTAAGCAAATACAATGCACTTATATATATTACGGAAATGAACGCTATGACTAAAGTATTATACAAATTTATTGAATTACAATGAAAACAAAAATTCCACAAATGAAACAATAAAGTTTTTTTTTACTATGGTTGCAACTACAGCGTTAATATAAGTATATCGATAGGGGTGTAATGAGCAGATGTAGAATTACACACTGTTGCAAAGATATTTTATTCTAAACAAATCCCTTTTGTCAGAATAACTGATTGAACTTTCATTTCATCGAGCCACGTAAGTCATTGTTTTGCAGCTACGACAGGGTCAATTGCGGACAATAAAATCCGGATAATTATTGTCGTAGGGCAAAAGTGGCGAAGTACTGTTTGTTCGTTGTTATTCCTTGTGATCTTCATTACCAATGCTTTGTTTAAACTGTTTGTACTATGCGTATAACGCTTTCAGCCTAAGACAAAACTCATTCGCATTTTATTAGGGCGTTTGCTGTAAAAAAAAGTAATTACGGGATCAAATACAGTTTCAACTGACCACTAAAGGGGATAACCAATTTCCTGCCCGGTTTGAGTAGGGGTGAAAATCTTTAATTAACCCAATGAAATATTTTGGAACTGTAATGCATTTACATTACTTTAAATGTCTATGAACATAATTCGTAGTTGCAATGCTAAAATTGTTATTCCCATGGCATGAGCATAAAATCAAACTTTCTAAATCATAACTTCCCTTCACTCTTCATTGGGCAATGATATGTTAGCCCATTAGCAAACAGTAGGAGTCCTTAAAATTGTAATTGCCAGAATCAAACTCAGGCTTAAGCAAACGCTCTATAAGAATAAGAAAAGTTCGAGTTAAATCTCGGGTTGTCACATTTCAGGTATACCTTTCTGGGATCTGCTTTTAATGAGCTTGAAGGTAAAACAATCAGTGTAATTTTTATTTTGCCAATATCTGCTTACTCTAATATTTTAGCTTCCTATACAGCTTTGCTAATATGCTGACAATACCTCAAAACGAAATAATGCCTTTGCTAAGCCATTCATATTTAATTATGCCATCGTGGTTTAACGTAATTATGCCTCCGTGGTTTGACGTAGTTTTGCCTACATGGTTTGATGTTATTATGCCACCATGGTTTGACGTAATTATGCCATCGTGGTTTGACATGATTTTGCCACCATGGTTTGACGTAATTATACCATCATGGTTTGACGTGATTATGCCATCGTGGATTGACGTGATTATGCCATCGTGGATTGACGTAATTATGCCAACGTGGTTTGACGCAATTTTGCCTACATGGTTTGATGTTATTATGCCATCGTGGTTTGACGTAATTATGCCATTGTGGTTTGACATGATTTTGCCACCATGATTTGACGTAATTATGCCATCATGGTTTGACGTGATTATGCCATCATGGATTGACGTAATTATGCCATCATGGTTTGACGTAATTATGCCATCGTGGTTTGACGTAATTATGCCATCGTGGTTTGACGTAATTATGCCATCATTGTTTGACGTAACTATGCCATCGTGGTTTGACGTCATTATGCCATCATGGTTTGACGTAGTTATGCTGTGGATTCAGTGTTGAAAATTTACAGTAAAGAGTCAGGTTTTTTTAAATATAAAATAAAGACACCAAATGACATAGATGCTAGGAACTATATGTTACAGTACGGTCTTAAACAATGAACACAAGCCCGTTTTATATTTTTTTTATGATTTCTGTAGATTGAAATTTTTATTTTCATATTGTATCCCTAAAACGAAAAAAATTGAAAATACACAAAAAGATACAATATATGTGTGTGCGTAGCCAAGTGTCATCAACACAATATCCTTCATCACTCAAAATGTTTAATTGTTTAAAAACACATAGTGTAGCACTTATTACCGTGCGGACGTGAAGCGTATTTGGATTATCCTTCTTTGATAAATTACTTTTGAGACAAAAGGTTTGGAAAGACAAACATATAACCCTTTGAAAGCGTCAGATGTAATCCTGTTTGAACCAACTCTACATGAACTGCCAAAAGCACCTTTTATGCAAAGACATAAGTTTAAAAAATGTATAAACGTTAAATAGATATTTTATAAAAATCTATAATCCTATACACACAAAATAAGTTTCGATACTATAACCTTGCAGTGCAATCACATGCCTTAATAATTAAGAATTATTTTCGTTGTATGGCTTTATTTTAACTTTAATTTATCAAATAATAGGTTGGTTTACAAAGGCTTTTCATGATATATTTAAATGTAAGAAAAGGGAATTAAACTCAGGTCGTATACAGATAACACTATGACTTAAGGAAAATATACGATAATCAAACACGATAAGTATACACGCCCATAACACGTTAAATAGAACAACACACACAAGGTAGGATGATATTTTGAAAAAAATAGGCAGGACAGGAGTTTTGAGTAAAAATAAAAAGGCAGGAAGAGACACTTTGCAACAAAAAAAAGGCAGGATAAACTAAAAAAAAAAAGGCAGGATCGGATAGAGTGAAAAATAAAAAGGCAGGACAGAGATTACAACTAAAAAAAAATGTAGGACAAAGTTTTTCATCCTAGCCCCCCCCCCCCCCCCCCCCACCTAAAATCAAATGGCAGCTCCCTAACTTGATTTATGTTTGCTGAACGTCAAACCCAATCCTTTTAGAATCAACCAAACAGGTGATATCAATATTAAGTTTACCGTTTATATATTATATACATTTATATGTATGAATAAAAGACTTTTTTTCTCCATTTCAGCCACTACATTGAATACCTGTGTGAACTATGGAAGCAGACTTTACGTATCTATGCACAGTTTAGCAGTAACCTTGACCTCTCTATGGATGTATTCACGTTTATATCAGTGATGAAAATTAGAACATAGCTACCTCAAAACTAATGAAAATAATTCCATCGAAGTGCATTCCTCATGAAACATCAATAACAAGTGCCTAACAATGCAAATTTCTCTCTATATATGAGCTGCGTCGGATAGAAATCGACCTTATGCAAATGAGTGTCAATACATCTGTTAACTTATTTCGGGTCAAAAAAATTCCTGTGCAAAGTCTATAACTGTTTAAAAATTGAGTTGATATAAGAACCCTACAAAACCGACCCTAATTCATCTTTTGTTTCGTATTTGAATGTTCGAAAATCAATCAAAGTCTTATACATGTACATGTATACGTGCACTTGCATAAGGTCGATTTCTATCCGACGAGGCTCATATATAAAAGCAGCGTGCAATATAAAGCGGTAGAACATGCATATGTGCTACGTGATCTGTCATTTGTCGTGTGTAATAAAAAAAGGGTTTTCCCCAGTCAGCAGCGAGAACAACAACGATGTCAACGAATACGTTTCAAACAGTAGCTTTCTGTAGCACGCTTTTCATGATGAAGTTATCTGGTCTCATGAAATTAAAAAAAATGTGACTTTATGTTTAAACTTTTGATCCTTAGCACAAACATTTCCTGACCGCAATATTAAAAAATGAATTTATCTGAAGCATGATATTGAAACAACATGTTGTCATGCATATAAAGCAATATCTTGTCATTAGTCTGTTCTTCAGTAATTTCTACTATTCTCCATCAAAAGCCTTTTTGGGGTATGTAACATATCTTGTTCTCACCTAAGTTAAAACATTTATTTTTGGTCCGTTTGTTTTAATAGTTTTTAAAAATTTATTTTGGTTTTTATCATACCCTTTGATTGTTATTCCAGACAAATACGTCATGCACCAGTCTTATATGAATCATTATATTATTCTCAATTGTGGTACTATTTGCGGTCATGTGGTACTATTTGCGGTCATGTGGTTAAGTACATGTTCAGAATTTCTTCTGGTACAATAAAATCGTTATACATTTTATTAAAGATTTGTTGCAATTCAAACTTTTATACATGTTTTTTTTCAAGAATAAAAACAGAAAATCATCCAAAACTTGATTTGTATATAACGATTTAAAAATTTTTTTTTGCAATCATTGATTGGGGTACGAACGTCCATGGAATACGGCGTTAAACTTTATTTCATCGTTTGTTTTTGAAGCAATTGGATTAGTAAACAATTTTAGTAAAATGTTTACAGGCTTTTTTTTTATTGAACAGTAAATTATCAACTTAATCAACATAAATTAAAAGAAAAACACACACAATTAAGACAAGGAGATTATGTAGTTATAGAACCATTCTCGTTAGCTACAAAAATGGTATAAGTTTAAAAACTAAGTAACTTTCAGTCATCTGTTTTCACTTAATTCTGCAAATAACGATGGAAGTTTAAAAGGGAAGTAACTCCATAATAAATGCATTTTGCGCAGGACAGCTATTTGCAGGCTTTTGATATGATAACTCGTTACGATTGCATCGCATTTTTTGTAAACTTTAAATTAGTCCTTAAGGTTTTTTTCCTCTATTGTTTTATCTAAATACATTGTGTATTGGTTTATCTATTTATAGTTATTGATATATTAATTGTTTATATCTTATTATAATCTTTTGTTTGTAACTAAGTGTAATTATTATATTCTTAGATAATCAAACATTGAAACAGTGTAATTTGGCCCGACTTGCCATTTAATTTTTGCACTTGGGGACAGGACAATTTTTTTTTAGCCCTCCCCTTTTTTCCAAAATCCATTATTTTTTTGTTTTCTTTCAATTTTTCAGTGACCGCTGTGGATAGTTTTTATTTCAGTGACCGCTGTTTGTAGTTAACTATGAATTGTTAGTCAGTAGCAAATTCATGTTATTTCTAGTATAATTATGTTAATATAATACCGAAAAACGCGAAAACAATTGCAAAGAGAGTTCAAATGACGAAGCTATAATCTTGTCCGAGATAGATGCTGGTTTGTCGTTGCTCAGTCTATGTTTATCTTATATTTTGATATGACGTTCTTCTTTCGCTTTGGAAACAAAGCCATGTTCTTATTCCAATAGAACATAGGCTGCAAGGTTTTTTCGTTTTTGCCTTGTTATTGTCGGTTTTGCTCGATTTATGATTTTGTATTTTCCCTGTTGTGTCTTCTGCACTTTTTGCTACATAAGACCTCTTTACTTCCAATATCCTTCCTACTGAAGACATCTTGAACTTTGTAAAATCGACATTATAAATATTTTTGCTCTCCATAGCTTCTCATTACATCCAATCAGTAATAGTTGCCATCAAGGGAAATAACTCGTATGACATTATGATCTTGTAATCAAATTCAGGGTTTCGGAAATATTTTTGGAAAGGTCAATAGTGAAGAATCAGAAATGCAATGTCCTCTGATAGAAGGTAAATAAATTATAGCATTATAATTGTCTGGTAGAGAGAGAAGAATATTAAATTCTTGAAGCAATAAAATGTCATAAAAACAGATGATAAAATGCGATAGTTTCAATTTTCCTAAGATAGCTTTCATATTTCATAAATATAAGAACGTTTTGCAAAAACTAAAGCAAAATTCCAATTCAAAATACAAAAAAAATCCTTGAGGAAATCATAAACCATGTTAAACATTTAAGGCCAAAAACATGGAAGAAAATGTATTTCTTGGTACCACTAAAATAAAATTATTAAGGATGACTTTGTTTTGTACTTAGGTGAAATTAAAAAAAATCTAAAATTTAAAATTGATACTTTAAGTCAGAATAGCATTCGTTAAGGAACAAAATAAGATAAAAATATTGATAGGTTATGGAACTCTTTTTTAAAATATTTGATTTATAAAAAATGGCGGGAAAATGCTGACTCGGACTTTTACCTTATATTTAGCATTGGCATTATTTGGGTCTCAAATCGTACTGAAGTCTTCTATGAAAAGAAGAGCGGGTGATATGGGGCAAAATATTTTACCCTGTATCGTAGGAAAAAAACAAAGAAGTGCGAACATCTGACACAAATTCATAAACCTCACCTAAGTACATCCTTAGAGCATATTTGTCATATACATTGCCAAAACATTTTATTTGGTTGCTTTTCGGAGTTTTTCAAACATTTCAAATTTACTATTTTTCAGTTAAGTGTGAATACTTTTTTATTTATTATCAACTAAATCACAAACGGGCATAAAACAGTTTTGTATAATCATATTAAAATGACCACTGAGGATATGTTGTTAGGAATGCAGCAACCATTTAACTTTAAGGGTCAAGGAGAGGGGTTATATTTATAAACAAATTTCTGCTGTTCGATTTTTTTCAAAGATGAAGTTGATTTACCTTAAATTGTAAATAAATAACCATGCAGACGTTGTCTTGAATTTAATCATTTAATCCCAAGATAATCTCATAAACAATGTGCCCCTCTACAAATATCTGGCTCCATCATTAACATTGCATGATTTTTTTTTCATCCTTCCGCGACTTTTAATCATAATGATACTTTGTATATATTCATTGATTTTTACCTTTATATTAAGTTATATTAAGTATGATCGTTCAATATGATGTAAAGAATTAAGTTAAATCCCAATTAAAACTTTATTTATTTATTTATGTTTTGTTTATTTATTTATGTATATAAGTACGGACATGACTTGATTTTTACATGTACAAAATAAAAGAATTAAGCGTATGTTTGAAGAGGCATGTCCACTTATGACACTGGTCTTTTCGTAGAGAAGTATTTTAAAAATTCTTGATACAGTTACTGGCAAATCTTCACCATTTACTTGAGGCTTTCTATCACAATTTAATTTCAGCTCATTTCATGGTTAAAATTGTATTAGACACCGTTGTCCGTCTGTACGTCTGTGTCCCGTTAACTCGAGTATGCCTAAACATTTTGTGTACACAGTGTTAAAAGTTCTATAAACACAACTTTGTTTTTATTTTGACAATTTTCTTATTTTCAAGAGTTACCGGACATTAACCGTAAATAATTTTTCATGAGTGCAAAGATAACTGAGAATTCTTGAAAAAACGTAATGACATCGTTTCACAATGTTCCGAATCATAGTGACAACCTTACGGTTAATCTTTATTTTTAAATCAGAAATCAGGCGTTCAATGTATACAGTTTTTTTTATAACAAGAACATATCCTTTGGCTTACATATTTTTTTCGCAAGGTTGTCAATCGTTAAAGTCGACAAATAGGCCAAAGCACGGGAACATATAATTATTTTTCAAGAAACCTTTTCAACATGGAATCAATAGATGACACAAATTGGGAACATCTAACACCATAAGTCCATGGCCAATAGAAAACAACGGCCCCAAAAACTTTAATCGCTCACCTACTAAAAATATGTCATTTTGATATTTATTTTTATTATGCCCCGCCGCAGCTGAAGCACTTACGTCCGTACGTACGTCCCAACATTGGTTTCTCTTAATTTAGTTTGCCCCAACCAAATTTTATGAAATTTATACACAATCCCCTTGAAACAACTAAATTTATTTGCATTTTTCTTAAAAATTATTACAGATATAATCGATTTTGAAAATGGCAACATGTACAGGAACAGATGGCAATGTTAATAAACATAAACAATTATTTTGTTATCAACCCTTCTAAGTGTTTTCCCTTGAAATATTACAACAAAACACAGATCAGGTTTGAATTTGGGTGGCGTCACTTTTACCGTTCTTGAGTTATGTCCCTTTAGGGGAACCATGGACACATTCTCTATTATTTTAAGTAAGTTATGTTTCTTATTTAGTGATATTTTTGTAGATCTTCTATTGATGATCATTCTTAGTGTTTTGAGATAATTGGCAAACATTAGTGAAACAAAGCGTCATTTATGGGCAATTAATTCTTTAAGGATTCTGGCAAAGTGAACTAACTTGTAGAACTTATTTTGTTGATATTATTTGCCTCAAAGTTTCTCTCAATCTATTATTACAAAAACTTTAAAAATTGCTAAACATAAATATTTCAGGGACAAACCTCCAAAATGGGTCGTCCGATTTTGCTGAAAATATAGACCGCAGATTAACCGTGTCCTGCTCGTCATGTTTACCCGTGTCAGTATCTGTTTAAATTTTTGCTATACATGTATAAGCCTAAAACTGTGAAATTTGCTTAACAATGTCATTTCAAGGGCAATAACTCTAAATTTGGGTTGTCAGATTTTTCTGAAAATTCAATAAAAAATAGACATTGACCTGCTCATATATTAGTATTACTTACCCGTGTCAGTTTTGCTCTATATAACTACTTTAGTTGTTGAGATAATAGCCAAAAATTGCATTTTATCCCTAAGTTCTATTCATGGCAACAGTAGCCATGTTTGTAGATTCCCTAAGGAAAATTCAGGCAAAGTTTTGTAACATTTGGTTGGCCAAGTAGTTTCAGAGGACAAGATTGATTTAAAGTTTATGACGACGGATGAAGACGGACGCAAAGTGATGATAAAAGCTCACACGGCTTTTTAGGTAAACTTAGCTAATGATCAATGAACAAAAGACAAAAAGGAGCCGATAAACTAAAGCACCACCGGCTACACTTTAAACACAGATCCTCCAGACGTCGAGTCGCTCCTGGCAAGAAAAAATCCCTCAGTGATGATTAGAGGCAACAGTTTACCGATGTTTAAATAAACAATCCTTTAAAAGAACATACAAAGCAAGATCTAAACAAGACCAATATCGGGTCTAGACAGGCGTCGCTACATGCAATTGATTAAGGGAACATGTATACTTGATGTAAACATTGCTTACTCGCAACAACTCAACATTATCAAGTTGCAGACCAAATACTAAATCATTCCCTTCCATAGGAGCCAAAAAATCTTAGACGACAATTTTCTTGTATAATGAGTGTTGAAAATTTTCAAATTATCGTCAAACAGGAAGTGGATACATAGCAGATTTTAAAATAAAATTGCCTACTCGCTACAACTCATCATTATAAATCTGCAAACCAAATATTAAATCATTCCCTTTATAGAAGCCAAGAAAACTTTGATGGACGGAAATAGTTGAGCGGTTATTAGACCTGCTTCCACCTTCGGCGACGCAGGTAAAAAAAACCAAAGGGAATCGCATGAACTTAAAAAGAGAGGCGACATATACCAAAGGGACATTCAAACTCATGAGTCGAAAATAAACTGACAACGCCATGGCTAATAAAGAAAAAGACCAACAGACAAACAATGGTACACAAAACACAACATAGAAAACTAAAGACTAAGCAACACGAACCCCACCAAAAAGAAACGTGAAACGTCGACAGGATATGCATATTGTGCTTTGCGTGCATCTCCCACCACCATAAGTCAAAATGTCACAATCATGAACGAGACATAACCGGAAAATGCTCAAATCAGACGACTATTCTGGTATGTAAAGAGCTAAGACCGAGAAAACATGTCGCTAAGTAGTTGAGCCACATACACGTCGTATCGGTAAACCCATATTTGACAGTGACAGTAAAATATGACGTGAGGATATGTTGCATTTCAAGGACGTTGCAAAATATTGTGACTTTTACAAACGAAAATGTTTTAAGACATCCATTTTTCATATTTTTACATTTTTATTGATTGATTGATTGATTGATTCATAAGTCTGAAAGACAGCTTCTGAATCATTATGTAGGTTGTAATTGGCTTTAACTAGCTTTCATTAATTTCAGTACTCCACGACTGGTACGTTGCTTCGTGTCAATCTGATTAGTCAAGTCTTTTCCAACTGATTATTAAAGTTTTCCGCACATTCATCCGGCAACGTACTTTGTTGTTATATGTTTTGTCAACCATCAGTCCGTTTGTTTCTCGTTTGCATTGTTCCACATTTTGTCTTGTGGGGGCCTTGTATAGCTAACTATAAAGAATATATTTTGCTTATTGTGGTGCAGTGACCGATAGTTGCTTACATCCACTTCAATTGAGCTCTGATGGATAGTTATCTCATTTGAAATCATACATCATCTTATAATTTTTATAATAATATAAAAAATACATAAATTACTGGATATAATGTGCAAAAAAACAAAAGAAAAAATACACATATAAAAGCAATAAATGTTTATTAACTATATAATAACAAAATAGCTTCAACAATATCATATGCATTTGGCGTGTCGTCGGCTGTTGATGTATAGAGGTATACTTAACCTTTCTAATATAACATTTTTTTTACTGAGCACTACCATAAAATGTTTCTAAATGTATTCGTACATAAAACTACTCAATACTTGTAAATGCATTTAACGGCATGTGAAGTTTGAAAAACACAATATTCATACCTTTGTCACGAAAAGACTATCTACAACTTTCATGATATTAAGTAACGAAACTGCAATAAGATAAATAATGTAAATAATCAAGTTTGTGTCCGCAACTCCCCATAAACCTTTGTACTTATATATACATACATAAATTGATTATATGTCACAGTATTTGATCAGGTTTTAAAGTTGCTACATAATATCTTTTACATTTCTATAATTGTTCTCATAGCTTTCAATTAACATCAAATTGCACAAAAAAGGGGGGAATGTTAATTCTATCAATCTCTATTACTCATTTTGCTGAGTGTTTCGATACGATTTGTCATCTCAGCTATTTTCAGCTCCTCAAATCGTTTTTCTACAAGTAAAGAAACATTGATAAATGTAGTCATATAAAATATATTTAAGATTATTATCTTTAATAACACTTTACACCCAATTCTTTCATATTTGTAGTCGCTAATCTTAGTGAATATCTTCCGTATGAATCTTGCTTTATACTAGACCAACATGCTGAGCCATTTTGTAAAGTTTGAGTTCGCAATGTGACAGTACGCAGGAAGACCTGTCCCTCAGGCAAGCACGCTGCTAGCAGAAAATCAAAGCAGTTGTAACTGGATTACAGGCTCCTGATTAAAGCTATTAACATTAAACAAAAGCAATTATGACTGGTGAAAACCACCACCAATCACCTAAACAATTGACTAAACATTCTTTGATGAGGACACTCTCTTAAAGTGTTGCGGGGACAAGTATATCTGTATGATGGCACATACATACATACATACATACATACATACATACATACATTATTTAACTTATTCTTACATTTTGGCGGGGTTCAGCATATTTGTGAGCGATCAACCATAACATAAACACAAAATCTTATACATACATTACCTAATGTAACTCATTCTTCTTACCCTTTTCTTGCAAATCTGTAAGTATTTCCTCTACAGTGAACCCAGTTTTTAAAGCAAAATCCATATCTTGAAGCAATCTGTCCTCAATTTGGGCTAAAACTAAAGCATAAGATTTCTTCATCATTATAAGAAAACTAAAATTGAGAATGGAAACAAGGAATGTTTCAAAGAGACAACAACCCGACCAAAGAGCAGAAAACAATTTATATATCAAGTCACATTTATCTCTCAATAAAAACGTATATTTTTCCTGGTACATTTATATTAAATTAGAAGTTTTTGCGATCTTCGGTCCAATAGGGGTGACCTAGTTCAAATACGTATACACTATAGAACCAACCCTTAGATTTCTTTTTGTCGGGTTGCTGTCTAACTGACTTATACCAAATATCACATAGTAAGAAGATACGAAAAAATGCTCTAAAGTACACAAAAGTCTCTTTCCAATGCACCATTTTGAGTTTTTTGTAAACGTTGAATTAAGCATTATATTTGAAAGATACTATCCTTTTGAATTTAAAAACAAGCAGTCTTAAGCAATAAGCTATTATAGTCTGTTAACCGAGCACTGTTGAACAAAATAATGTCAATGGTAATAAAAGACAAATTATGGTTTACATGTACAAGGCTTGTGGTTTATAAATTGTTTTACATTTTTGTCATGTCAGGACTGTGTCATGATTTTTTTCTCTCGTTTGAATGACTTTAAATTTTGTTATGTCGGGGTCGTTCATAGATGACTATACGGTATAGCTTTTGTTCATTGTAGAAAGCCGTACGGTGACTTATATTTGCTTTCATCAACGTAATTTTGACGCTGGTGGACATTTATTTTTTCATTGGCAATCATACCGCATATCCCTATCATATATTACAAGTCGATGCGAGAAATAAATACCTTCTTGTCTATACTGTGAAAATTGTCCTTCCTTTGGCTGCACTTCTTTGTTTTTGGATAAATTTTCTAAAACATGTAAATATACTGTTTATATCAGACTTAAAACAAACACTAGAGAATACAAACAAAACAGAGAAAGAACTTAATTGAGTACAATCATACTTATAGCAATTGATCTTCAAAACGAGTAAAAAGGTGCCTTAACATAAACAATCAAAATTACTATACCTGGTGCAAACATTACTTATTTTACACGGTTGAGTTCTTCTTTAAATTCCCATCGTTTTATTTGACTGAACAAGGGATTTCCTCGCTGTGTTGAAGACCCATTGGTGGCCTTGGGCTATTTTCTGCTATTTGGTCGGGATTTTGTCTCTTTGACCAAGGATTTGTATAGTGACTATACAAATCCTTGCTTTGACACATATATTCAATTCTATCCAACATCCAAAATTTGCCACAAGTTAGAATGTCTAAGAAAGAGACGTTTAACCACACTGAAAGATCCTAGATTTAAACAATAACATACCTTTATCATCACGTTGTTGTAAATTCTGTTTCGTTTCGGTGTCTTTGGACAGTTTGCTTGCTAAGGACTTTAGGACTGCGACATCATCGGCTCCTTTCTCGATAATAGGTTTATCATAAAATGTCTGCTTGTTTTCTAAATAATGTCAATGAACAAAACATCAGCAAAAATACTTGATAGTTCCAGTAACTCTAAATCGATTCAATAGCTTCTGTTGTCAAATGTAATATATAAACATGGGACACTTTTAATTTGCAAAACACTCATTTGCAAATCCGCCGCCGCCTCTCCTCAGAGTTACAGTGTCGTGTATATAACCAAAATGTGCGGAATTACATGGGATTCAATAATTTCATTGCTTTTCTGCTGTTTTTTTATATATATTTTGTAATTTGATTTAGAAAAACATGGGATTTTCAATATCCCATGGGATATGGCAAATCCCATGGGATTGACCATTATCCCATGGGATTTTGGTTAAATCCCAAAGGATTTTTTTGGGTCCCATGGGATAATTGTAGTCCACTTCTATAAAAGTTATTGCCCTTGAATAATGATTATTATGAAAATAAGATGTGGTATGATAAATGAGAAAACTATCCACCAGAGTTCAATTAAGTGGATGTAAGCAATGCAATTACTTATTAGAGGCCAATGATGACCTGTAGATAATGGGAAAACCCATACCCTATACATGATATAGTCATCTATAAAAGACACCACAAACAAAATTTGGAACAAAACATCAATTCAAACCAGACTAATTTATAAAAAAAAATATGACGGACGTGAACCAACATCAACCAATGAACTATGTACAGGCTCCTGATTTTGGACAGGCAAAATTAAGGCAGGGTTGACATAAAATTAAGAAGCGGTATGATTGCCAATAAGACTTTTCTCCAATAGAGATCAAATGACATTAAATTTAACAAAAATAGTACTGTACAGCCTTCTACAATGAGCAAACTCTATACCGCATAGTAATCTATAAAAGGCCATGAAATAACAAAATTAATGTAAAACAATTCAAAAAGGGCATGGCGTCTATCCATGCTAAACATGCTTGGGGGAAACACCACAAAGGCGAAAGCTAAGTGCCTGATTTTTGCACAAAATATTAAACAACAACAAATATGATATAAAGCAATAATTGACAACCACTGAATAACAGTCCCCTGACTTGGGACAGACACTTACAAACTGTGGCATGGTTTAACATGTTTGCTGGCGCCAAATCCTCCTCTAATTAAGGACAGTGATGTTAGTGTCAGTTCAATATAAAAACTATAAAATCAGTTAAAAGGGCTTTTTTTCTGCTCTTGGGTCAGGTTATTTTGAAACATTCCCGTTTTTATTCTCAATTTTATTAACTCATTAGAATGCAACAAAGCAGAAAAACAGCTACCAAAAACACAGATCGGATGTGGCTGGAAATTTATTCTTTCCCTTTAACAAAAAAAAAAGACTCAACATACAGATCTATTAGTACTCACAGTTACTGACAGCTAATTCAAAGCAAATATCAACTAATAAAATAAACATTTTGTGAGCACCCAACCCACACCTAACCTGGGACAGTGGTTTTTATAACAGCACAACATTTGAACAAACTGTAAACATTTGTTGCAATTGGCTTAACTCAAAAGACTGCAACAAGGCACAAAAACAACTAATATGAAAACCATAGAAACAGAGCACTGAAATAAGAGTACTTACAATGTTAAATATTCAAATGAAAGTTTATCAAAATGTACATAAGCATGATGAAATAGCCATTTTATTGCTGTATTTCACTTCATTTATAATTTTTGAGTTTTGTGTATTTGTAGGTCAGACATCTTGGTTTTAATGATCATCATTCAACAGGTCAATACAGAACAGAAAATTAAAAGTTGATATTTTTCTACATAGTGTGACTTTTTTATTAATTTGATATGGAATGTGTTTTTTTTCCTACATAAGAAAGAGGAAATTTCAACATAATGACTATAAACAAAAAGGAGTCATATCATCATGATCATAGATACACAAGAACTTAATCATATAAATTTATGCAACAACGTAATTATCAATTGAAAGAAGGGAGGAATGAAAAAATATATTAGTATTTTGTTGTCCAAATGAACTTGCTTTTTCCACTCATTTAAATCGCTCCATCCAATAAAGATGTACAGAGGAAGATCTTTGAAGAACAGATTGCAAAAATGTATTGTCTAAGAAGTGTAGGAATATTCTAGTGGATGAAATAATTTATTTACTTCACTCTTATATAGTGGACTGAATAATTGTGCATAGCAAGCTGAAACAAGAAAACTAAAACTTAACAAGAAAAGTGTTTATTTTATAATTTTGCAAATATAAACGTAATATTATGAACACCACAAAGGTATAAGATTCAAATCGTTTGCATATTCATGTATTGCAATGGAACTATAACAAAGAAAACTTTACCTCATGAAAAGAGTAAACTATTAACTGTGCTTTGTCAATTTATTCAGTCAGAATATGAAATATTTTTTTTAGTTCTATTTTTCATAATAAAAGAAACAAGACAAAGATTTCAAATCTATATTTTTTTCTTTTATTAAGACATGTCATAATTTTATTTCAGTTAAAGAATTTTCTTTTTTTACTTTAAATATTATTATACTTTCCAAAATAATAATAATATTTATTGTCATATAAACAAATTAAAAACATGTTTGTGACAAAATGAAAAAAACCAAAATGCATTCATATATATATTATAAACTTTTTACTCCCAAACAGAATTCATTGTAACATACACATTACTGTATACTGTATTTATTATTTAAATCCCATAGAATTTTATTCTGTCCCATGGGATATTAAAAATCCCATGGGATAATAATAGTCCCATGGGATTTTTTTTTGTCCCATGGGACAACAAATATCCCATGGGACTACAATTATCCCATGGGACCCAAAAAAATCCTATGGGATTTAACCAAAATCCCATGGGATAATGGTCAATCCCATGGGATTTGCCGTATCCCATGGGATATTAAAAATCCCAGGTTTTTCTGAATCAAATTACAAAATATATATAATAATAACAGCAGAAAAGCAATGAAATTATTGAATCCCATGTAATTCCGCACATTTTGGTTATGTACACGACACTGTAGCTCTAAGGAAAGGCGGCGGCGGATTTGCAAATGAGTGTTTTGCAAATTAAAAGTGTCCAGTGTTCATAGTTTAATTGCAATTATATGTTATTTATAATTCTATATGAGATTTCTACTTATGATTTACAAGTGCAGCTCGATGGGTTTCACTGGTTAGTCGGGAATGTTGACTCTACGGAAAACCTCGATTTTATTTAGGTTCGTGTTTTTTTTAGGTTTTTTTTGTTGTTTCCCCGTCTTCATTTGGCAATGATGTTGTCTTTTTTTTAATTAAGAATGCTTATTGCTTTTTTTGGCATCTTTTATTTTTTTTCATCACCAGTTTAGAAAAGAGTGCCCTCTTTTAATCTTCTACTTTTTTGTACAAAAAAGATAACAAATCCGTTGTTTAAAGGTTCGGAATGAAATTAATTTGTAAAGTTAACTAATTTTACTTAGGCCTTTTAGAGCCCGGTCACTTATTACGCATACCCAACGATTTGTACATAAACATATAAATGATTGGCACAGCATACATTGCATAGTACTATTTGAGAAAAATTGTTAAGAGAATCTTACTTCCTTTTATCCATGTTAGATTGATCAACAGTTTATATCTTTCCAAAAAATACTTATTATATTTTTAACAATAACATCATTCCTAACTAAGAAAACATCATAAATGGTCTTTTTTGCCATTTTTGTTCGTATTTTCACTTTAAAGACGGATATGACCCTACACAACTTCAGTGGAATTCCCAAATTAAGTCAGAAGTGTAAAGGAACCAAACAATTAATATTGTTGCCAAAGAAATATCTGGTTTAAAATACAACATAGGCATTCATTTAGTAAAACAAACGATGCTTTAGGTAAAATATCCGTAACCTCAAAACAGTTGTATTGTTATTGTAGTTGTTGAAACCAATGCCCAATATGAATGCATGTACTAGGAAATGATTAAAATAGACCTACCAAGCTCTTCTCGTATCTTGGAATTCAATTTCTGCTGACGTTGACGGTTTAAAGTATTTTTTAATGCCTAAAAAGGAACGATAATATTATTTACTACTTTAATGTAGCCAGGAGAACAAATTAGAAACGGTACAGCAAAACTGAAAATCATATATAAGTACCAACCCGGCTTTACCAATCAGGCTATCTGGACCATGAATTAGGCCACACTTAAAAATATTTTGGTTTGCCCAAACCCTATCCAAAGGTAGAGACAGTGGGTAGGTAGGTAGGCATTTTCTTTTTTTTCGGCAAAAAGAAATTGAAGTGTCAGATGTTTTATAGTCTTCATGCCTATCTGATTAAAAAAAACTTTTTCACATCAGGACAATAAAAGATTTTGAGTAGGCTGATATCTTCTGGGTAGGTAGGGTTAGCGCAAACAAAGATATTCTTTTTTATGGCCTTACTTGTTGTTTTTCTTTGTATGTTTTTGTTGGATATTTATACGGTGTCTTATGTTGGTGATTGCTGTGTTAAAAATGTTTAAGGTGGTACCTAACACTACAGGGAGATAACTCAAGTAAAAGGGAGTAAAATCAGCTAAACTTTTTTATTACGTTGTACTGTTAAGGGAATATTAAGCTTCTCAATGATTTAAAGTTAGTGTTTGTCAAACTGCTATATAACCAGTCTAATTTTTCTGATAAATTGGTTGGTTCAAATTTTTTGAAATTTTTATATTTTTGTCATAGGGTCAAAGTAAATACTTTGTCAAAATTTTATGAAAATTAAACGAGCCAAATTAATTTTAGTGAAGGTGTTGGGTACCACCTTAATATCGTTTGGCAATTCTTTTTATCCCATTTTACACACTTAAAATGAATGCAACAGAGTCTTTCGGTTTGGGTGTACCTAATTATTGTATTGAGGAATTCCAAAACCCTTTTTGTATCATTATTGTGTGGTAATGGGTTGAAGTTAAATTACTTTGTGAATCATTTCATGAAAATATTTATTAGAAAAATAACCAAACAGATAACTACAACCTCCTACTTTTAGATTAGCATCAAAATATCCCCATAACGCCTGTTTTTACCATTAAGACCGCTACTTCATCCGGTGATTTCAAAAAAAATATTTTGACTGTCTGTGTGTTTTTTTTCTTTATAAAGTCTTTATGTGAGAATATTTCTTATATTATTTGCATATCTTCAAATACCTGACTGTGATTGGCCAGTTAGAATTTGTTTCTTTGGTTTACACTTCGATAGACAATGTTCGTAACTTATGTAAAAACTTTTCAGTGGTTTTCGTTTGTTGATGTGGTTCATAAGTGTTTCTCGTTTCTCTTTCAGTTTGATATGTTATAGTGTGTCTTTCTATGTTGTGATGTTACACTATTGTTTCAGAAAAAGGGTGAAGGTTTGGTACCATTAAAACGTTTAAACCCGCTGCAATTGTTTACACCTGTCTTAAGTCAGGAATCTGATGTTCAGTAGTTGTCGTTTGTTGATGTGGTTCATAAGTGTTTCTCGTTTCTCGTTTTTTATATAGATCAGACCGTTGGTTATCCTGTTTGAATTGTTTTACACTAGTCATTTTGGGTTCCTGCTGTTCGGTGTGAGCCAAGGCTCTGTGTTGAAGGCCGTACTTTGACCTATAATTGTTTACTTTTTACACAGCGTGACTTGGATGGATAGTTGTCTCATTGGCACTCATACCACATCTTCTTATTTCTAGTTGTCGATTTCAATGATATTTTCATGCACTCTACACATGAATTATGATTGGGATCCTGGGGAACCAGAAAGTTGAAATTGAAAGAAAAATTAAAATGTTTGGGTTCAGAACTTTAAGGATTGAATACATTTTTTTATGAATGAACTCTGAACTTTTATTAAGTTTGTGAGCTAATTGGCCCAATTTACACATCAATGACCTCTTTAAAAAATTTTCTATTCTAAAGGTCGCCATCTTGGCTTCATCTTTCACCAGTTCTTACCTTTAAGACGGCCACTTCATCTGGTGTTAGACTTTCATCAGACTTCTCATTGTCAGTAGTTTTGGATGTGACCATTCGAGATTCCTTGGCCTTGTTGATTGCTTCTGGTTTTACTGTAGGTGGCAGCGTTGTTATAGTTTGTTCTTCACCTTTCTCTATTTGTTGAAGCTGAATAAAAAAAACATGAAATAAGTGAAAATTTATTTCGTATTATTGTTCGAATAGCCTTAACAAAACCCCCATTAAGAAGCAAGTATATGAAAATAAGGAGATCTAGATGTGGTATGATTGTCAACGAGACAACTGTCCACCAGAGTCCAAAGGACGACGATGTCAGCAATATTGGGCACAGTACGGCTTTCAACAATCACAAAAATCCATAGAGTATATACTATAAGCTATAAAAAGAATTGACATTGCAAAACCTGAAACAATTCAAAAGAGAAAACAAGCTCCCTGACTAATATTTGAAACCTATCAGTCGCTCTTAATTGAGCTCTTTTCAGACAATGCATCCATATGACTATATCTCAAACTGAAAAGTTCGTTCAAAAAATCGTTTTTGGTTTCATGTTTATTTAATTCTGTTTTTGACATGAAATTTTAGAACACCAAAACAAAATACATTTTTTTTCTTGAACGCTCCCTTAACATTGATAAAAATCTAAAAAAAGACTTAAACTATGTAAATGTCAGTTTTAATTTTGTGCCTAAATCATACAAATTTTCAATGACATTGAGGTCCGTATATTTCCCCTGAATTTGTTGCTAAAATTGAAATACCTGTATTTGAGTATTATAATGTACAACAGTATGTTCAGTTGACGCAGAAAAGCATCACATAGGTATATTTTGAATTATACAGCTGATGGAGTGATTTAGGACGAAAGATACTTTTGTAAGCCGTTGATAAGCAACTGCATCAGCTCGAATCGTTTTGAGGAACTATATTTTACAAAGTGCAAAAATGAAGTTGTAACATTGTGGTGCCGAATTCAAGACACAGAAAAAAATAATTATGCTGTTCTTTTGTCTACTGTAAACATCTGACCTCTTGATGTTTTGTTTGTTGTTCGTGTTAACGTATACCCAACATCTGAAGTATTTCACATATTGTGTACAAAATACTTACCAAACCTTGAAGATTTGCTAGCTGCAATATAAATAAATCAAATTAAATAAATATAAAAATAAGATGTGGTATGTTTCCCAATGAGACAACTCTCCACAAGAGACCAAATGACACAGAAATTAACAACTATAGGTCACCGTACGGCCTTCAACAATGAACAAAGCCCATACCGCACAGTCAGCTATAAAAGGCCCCGAAATGACAAATGTAAAACAATTTAAACGAGAAAACTAACGGCCTAATTAATGTACAAAATAATGAACGAAAAACAAATATGATGTACAGCAACAAACGACAACAACTGAATTATAGGCTCCTGACTTGGGACAGTCACATACAGAATGTGGCGGGGTTAAACTAGCTTGAAGGCGCCAACCCTCCCCCTAACCTGGGACAGTGGTGTAACAGTACAACATTAGAAAAGTTCTTTTTGTCTATGTACTACTGAAAATTCCTGGATATATAGTCAAACTTTTTACAATAGGATAACGTTACTCTGTGTCCGTCATTCAGAAACTAAATGTAGAGTAGCGGACACAATGCTACGCCATCTGCTTACTTCTTATTTGAAGATCTTTTACAAATCAAAAAGACCGCAATAGATCTTCAAAATATCTCTTTGACACATTTCCCATTTCCATTCTCAATTTTATTGAAACAACGTTGTATATCGATTTAAAACTTGACATATTGTGTAGACACTTGTCTACTGTTAAAAATCTCATATTGACCCCTAGATGACATTTCATTTATGTGTTATAGTAGTTTTTATTCATCATGTTAATATGAATATATACAAGAAACTGATTAACAAATTACATATTCATTTATTTACGTGGATAATTCTCGCGGATTCAGGAAACTTGTATTTTCGATAATGTTTGATTTCGTGGTTTTGCAAAAGTTTGCTTCATACAACTTACACGGAGGTTACACTAATTCAAGAATTTTTAAGTGTTGAGTTTGTGAGAAATCACGCCTAAGTGATTTATAACACAATCTATGGTGTTAAACACCCAAACACATCGATTTTCTGGAAAGCTGTTCTAAATATTGTGTAACTTTTAGTGCAACATTGCAAGTTTGTTAACAGTGTATACATCTTACACGGAGGTTACACTAATTCCAGTGACGAGTTGCACAAAACCAACACTTATAAGTGTTAACTTTGTGTGAAATCACACCTTAGAGATTCATAATACGATTTATGGTGTTACACACGCACACACGCTAATTTTCTAGTATAGTTGTTCTAAATTTGATATAACTTTAGGTGTAACATTTCATCCTTTTTTTTGTGTACAAGCTCGAACTTGTAATTCGTTGAACTTTTAATTCGTGGTTTACCTGAACCCACAAAATCCACGAAAATTGGTACCCCTTGAACAATAATGAAATCACAGTTTGTACATTTACTTTCAAAATGTTCTACTCTCGCATTCAACTTAAATATGACCGACAAACATATACAGTCACAAACTTAGATATATAACTAGACAGAGTGTTTGTATTATCTTAAGAATGTTAACCCTTTATCAGAGGTCAAATAAAAACAAATATTTACCTTTATTTACCTTAGTCGTAAAAGAAACCACTAGTTTAGATAGTAGAGTGTTATATTTAAAACTCCCTCGCAAGTTGTTGTCTGCGATGTGTGGGTACAGAATTTATTGTTTTTTTTTATCGTCAACAAATGAATATTGTTTATTGTAGGAGTGAAAATAAATGTATGGGGGTGATGGGTGGCTTTTAGCATGTTTCGCATCCATTTTTTTTTATATTGTGACAGATGTTTTACTGTATTTTCTGAAGAGTTTTATATGGCACAATATAGAATGAAAAATATGGTGACTTTGATCAGTTTCACAAAATCTTACGACTATATTAAAGTTGATCGTACGTTATGAACAATTCAGTATACTTATGATCAACTTTAGTCGTAAGATTTTCTGAAACTGATCAGTGTTTATTTGGGAATTGAATGCTGCTTTTTGTAATTTTATTGAGTTGTAAAAGCGTTAACTTTACATGAGCACACTTTACAGCCCTATAAAATACATGAAGAGGCATTCATCTTTTAAAATTACATTTTTATGCTTCAACCTTTAACTAACTAGTTTTATCCAGCAATCACCCATCTATTGTATGAATAACATGTACATTGCTATTTTTTTGCTTTATTTGTACTTGTACAAATATAAAGTCTCCTGTTACTCAGCTTCCATGTTGAACAAACGGTAATGTGAATATTTCTTTTTGTGTCCGCGTTTACACTAACGTCGATTTCTTTAAAAAATCAGAAACAACTAATTGGATTTAAACAACTAAATCTTAAAATGCCGGTTGTAAACTGCGGGATAAAAACAATATATGAAATAAGTTGTGGTATAATTGCCAATGGGACAACTCTCCACCAGAGACCAAATTACATAGAAGTTAACAACTATAGGTCACCGTACGGCCTTCAACAATGTACAAAAACCATACCGCATAGTCAGCTATAAAAGGCCACGAAATGACAAATGTAAAACAATCCAAACGAGAAAACTAACGGCCTGAATTATTTAAAAACAATACACGAATTACAAATATGATATACAGCAACATCAGACAACCACTGAATTACAGGCTCCCGACTTGGGACAGGCACATACCGAATGTGGTGGGGTTAAACATGTTAACGGGCGCTCAACCCTCCCCCTAACCTGGGACAGAGGTGTAACAGTACAACATATGAACAAACTATAAAAATCAGTTAAAATGGGCTCGACTCGTCAGATCGACGGAAAAACAAGTAACAAAAACACAGACGGGACGTGGCAGGGTATTTATACATCCCAACAACAAAAAACCCACTAAGTACAGATCTTAGAGTACTCGCAGTTACTGACAGCTAGTTCAAAGCCAATAACAACTAATAAAAAACCATGTATCTAAGACTAAAGTATCAATCAACACACATCCAAAATCCAATGGATTTAGTGTAAAGACGTCATTAACAGTCGGAGAAACATTGAAACATTGAAATATAAAACTTATTTATAATTCGCTACAAAACAGGAGAAAATAACGACGAATTTCACTTTTTGTCCTGTTTCTAAAGCTCATTAAAAAATATTTTTTTCCCGACAATATTCATACATGGCATGTCAGTAACTGCTAGTAGTAGTCCTTTGTTCATTTATATATCATTGTCATTTTCCTTAGTTTCATTTGTTACCTATTCTGACATCGGACTCGGACTTCTTTTAAACTGAATTTTTACTGTGCGTACTGGTATGTGTTTCTTTATTCTACATTGGCTAGAGGTATAGGGGAGGGTTGAGATCTCACAAAACATGTTTAACCCCGTCGCATTTGTGCGCCTGTCCCAAGTCAGGAGCCTCTGGCCTTTGTTAGTCTTGTATGATTTTTAATTTTAGTTCATTCATATGTTTTTGGAGTTTAGTATGACGTCCATTATCACTGAACTAGTACATATTTTTGTTTAGGGGCCAGTTGAAAAACGCCTCCGGGTGCGGGATTTTCTCGCTGTGTTGAAGACCCATTGGTGGCCTTCGGCTGTATTCTGTTCTTTGGTCGGGTTGTTGTCTCTTTAACACATTCCCTATTTCCATTCTCAATTTTATTAACTCATCAGATCAATCAGAAAAGCAAGTAACAAAAAACACAGGCCGGACATGGCAGGGTATTTATACATCCCAACAAAAAGAAAAACACTAAGTACAGATCTTAGAGTACTCGCAGTTACTGACAACTAGTTCAAAGCCAATAAAAACTAATAAAAAAATCATGTATCTAAGACTAGAGTATCAATCAACACACATCCAACATCCAATGGATTTAGTGTAAAGACGTCATTAACAGTCAGAGAAACATTGACCTTGAAATATAAAATGTATTTGTACTCGCTACGAAACAGGAGAAAAGCTCGGCGAACTTCACTTTTCGTCCTGTTTCTAAAGCTTATACAAATATTTTTTTTATTTTCCGACAATGCACATACATTTATATTGTATATATATATATTACTTTTTTCGTGTGTTTTCCTATGCATTATTGTGACGTTGTCATGGGAAGCACGTGCTATCGTGAATGTTACACTTTATTGGGAAATACAATCTGATTTTGGAATGCCTCTTGATTGGGTGACGACAATCGAGAGTAGTATAATATCCTTGGATGTTTCACCGTATACCTATCAAGATCAAGATCAAGAAAGACATTTTAATGAAACATACAGTAGTGTAATTATTCCACACTGACCTCTCACTGTATGTCATAGCTAGTGTACAATGTGTATAGTGTATGAGAACACTACGAGAACACTGTTCATAGCTAGAGTAAAATGTGTATATTTATTTTTTTCTAGTGTTTGAGTACACTGACACATTTTATATTGATTTATAAAGCAATAATCTTACCTTGTTTTTCAAAATGGCAATCTGAAATATATATAAAAACATGAAAAATATGCTTTACAAAATTTCTGGACTTTTAACATTATCTTACAAGTTACATAAGAATAATGTTGTGCATGAATAACATCAATTCATTTTAATTTTTATCTAAAAACCGATTAAAATAGTCAATACTAATAGTGTTAACAAGGCAGAAGATACAAAAGGGCAATTCTAAATTCATCAGTCGATGACAAACTGACATAGCCATTCGGGGTACACTTTTTACTAGACTGGTTCCCTGTCCTTTATCTGTTTGGCTCTGACAGATATAAGACAACAAAGGTATCTGAGATACCCGTATGTTGCAAGGGAGAGGACCAGCCTAACTTTTTACAAGATGGACTGTTGAGTATTCTTATTGATAAAAGTTAGTGTATACGTTGCAGAACTATAAGTGACAAGCTATATTTCAAGATTAAAATAAAGAAAACAAACGTATTTAAAATGTGAATATAGTATACAAAGTCAGTTTAGTTCTAGTCATCTCTGTGAATAAAGTTCCATGTTATATTATTTCTTTTGACTTTTGACTATGATTTAACATGATATTTTCTTTTAATAAACAACTTCCTGTTTATTATTTTCCCAGGTCCTTGTGTAATTGTTCGATGAAACGTTTTGTATAATCTTATTTCTTACCTGACTACTGGATCTTTTTGATCTGGTACCCACTAAAAGATAAATACACATTATTAGTGAAATAAAGTTTAAATATTTAATATAAATAAAATAGAAGATCACAAAAGATAAACTTTGCCAAATAATCTTTGTCGTCTAAATTGATTGTTGTTTGGTATATGTCAAGTGGAAAATATTTCATGCATATTCAGTGCGAGGTGGCTGCATTGTATTGTGTAAGTAAAAGAATCGCAACAAAAAAGATAGCTGTATATGACACGTAACTTTAGGGAACAGGTTACTAATTGTTTTATAATGAAAATGTCAAAGCGTTTGATTGGTTAATATGCGGGAGATGATTTACTCTATCCCATGGCAAATATTAAATTACCCTTCACGGAGACGCTTGATCAATTGTGCGCTTTATTAAATACGGATGGTTATTATGTACAAGATGTCATAGTTTATTACTTTGAGTTTGAAATTTAATAGACATTAATAGCAGAACATTCAGTATAATGAAAACACATAGCTGAGAGGGTGATAGAGCAAATTGTTACCCCTCGAAAAGACATTGTCAACCTCGGCTTCGCCTCGGTTGACAATGTTTTCTCGGGGAAACAATCTGCACTTTCACCCTCTCAGCTATATGCTATCTATATAATGATCTGAATATTTGTTTTACAGACAATGACGTTTAAAACATATATTGATAATCTTAAGATCTTTGTTTGAATTTTCTATTTACCAATTCTGTCTAAAGTCAGAAAAATACGCAAGTAATTCAAATAAGGCCATTTGCCCTAACAATTGCCAGTCCACGTAAAGTCCTTTGATATTGCTGAGTTGTGGTTTATTTTTTCTCTTCCTTGTCGTTACTGCATTTAAGGATGTACCCAGGTCAGGTTATGAATTTTTGTCGGACTCCTTGGGTTTTTTCCTACGATACAGGGTAAAACATTTTACCCCATATCACCCACTTTTCTTTCCATAGAAGATTTCAACAGTTCATATAAAATTCATTACTAAATTTAAGCAGATTATAGATTTTTTCTTACGATTTGAGACCCAAATAATGCCAATAAGGTAAAAGTCCGAGTCAGCCTTTTCCCGCCACTTTTTAAAAATCAAATATCTCAAAAAGGAGTTCCATAACCTAGCTATATTTTTTGCTTATTTTGTTCCTAAACTAATGCTCCTCTGACGTAAAGTATCAATTTTAAATTCTATATTTTTTTAATTTCACCTCCTTAAGACATCAAGTAGATCTTAATTCCATATTTTTGGTGAAAATTTAGCATTTCTAATCATGAACAATTGTTTCGCGCGCATTTATTTCAGCATGTTCAGCATTTTGATTCTTTATGTTTACCATGGAGAGATAACTGATAAGGAAATATTATAGTGCTATCACTTTAGTCACGTGTCAAGTTTATACCACGGAGTACAAGCATTCAAAGCCAGTATTTAATAAAAGCTGTTTGTCTGATAGATGTGGAGCAACAAATAAATTATCAGAGGCGCAAACTTAAATTTTCCGAGCGGAGCGAGACGAAAATTTTTGGAGGTAAAATTATCGAAATATTCTTTATTAAGCTGAGGACAACCCATGCTTTGCAAACTTTAGGAGGGCGCACGCCCGCCACGCCCCCGCCTGAATCCGCCTCTGATTATCATTATAAAGTTGATTTGTTTCATTTATCATTTTAATATATATATCCAAGAAGTTGTTATATATAGTGTCCATATATTTTAAATACATTTGTAGGTTTCTTGATTTTCCTTATATCTTAAGCAATTTGATAAGAAATGTTTTCTTCTTTTAATACATTGAAAAATTGACAGTCTCTGATCTCTAGGTATCGTATGATGTCTGCCGATTGTGTGAAATAGACTGTATTTCTTGTTAACTCCCTTTTATATCTATTAACCTCCTAATCTAAAGTAAACTTAAACGAAAACTAAAATAATTTGATTGCTTCATCTATATTATCAAATGTAAGAAGTAGATATATGTAGTTTTCATATATTTTATATACATTTGTAGTTTTCTTCATTCTTCTTATATTTTAGGCAATTTAATTAGATTTTTTTTCGTCTTCCTATTTACTGCAAAAACTGGTAGTCTCCGATCGTATAATGTCTGTCGATTTTATGGAAAAAAACTGTATTTCTTGCCAACTCTCTGTAATATCTGTTTACCTCGTAATCGAAAGTAAACTTAGTCGAAAACTAAAATAATTTGAAGGGCTTTCGGTACTTTATCACTTTTCAATAAGGTTATAAATTAATATAAATTGAATTTTATAGTAGTTTAAATGATAACGTGATATTGTAATCTATTTGAACATGTTGAAAGCATTACAAGTGTACACATACTGCCTCGTATAGATACGAGAAAAGGAGAATAAGTTTTCAAGGTCAAAAGATGCCTGGTTCATTCTTGCCAAATTTGGATAATATTGAGTCACCAAATCGACTTCACCACAAAGTGTACCCATCTTTATTTTGAAATATTCAGAAGTTATAATCAGATATATAGATTGGATTATTGCATACTATTTAGGAATAAATAGAGTCGACTGACTTGAACATGTTGAACGCTGTATAGAGGGAATATTGGCCAATACCAAAGTACAATACTATTCAATTGTTCTTTGACTGTGTTAATCTTGTTATTATTCAGGTGTCGTGGCTATATTGAGTACATGAGAGTCACCAACTTGTTAAAAGTCTTATTAAGATGTCGTGGCTATATTGAGTACATGAGAGTCACCAACTTGTTAAAAGTCTTAATAAGAAAACGTGGATATATTGAGTACATGAGAGTCACAAACTTGTTAAAAGTCTCAATAAGAAAACGTGGCTATAATGAGTACATGAGAGTCACCAACTTGTTAAATGTCTTAATAAGAAAACGTGGCTATATTGAGTACATGAGAGTCACCAACTTGTTAAAAGTCTTAATAAGAAAACGTGGCTATATTGAGTACATGAGAGTCACCAACTTGTTTAAGGCTTAATAAAAAAAACATGGCTATATTGAATACCTGAGAGTCACCAACTTGTTAAAGGCTTAATAAGATAACGTGGTTATATTGAGTACCTGAAAGTCACCAACTTGTTAAAAGTCTTAATAAGATAACGTGGCTATATTGAGGACCTGAGAGTCACCAACTTGTCATAAGTCTTACTAAGATACTGTGGCTATATTAAGTACACGTGAGAGTCACCAACTTGTTAAAAGTCTTAATAAGATAACGTGGCTATATTGAGTACCAGAGAGTCACCAACTTGTCATAAGTCTAACTAAGATGCCGTGGCTATATTGAGTACCTGAGAGTCACCAACTTGTCATAAGTCAAACTAAGATACCGTGACTATATTGAGTACCCGAGAGTCACCAACTAGTCATAAGTCTTATAGATATACAGTGACTATATTGAGTTCCATGATATTTACCAACTGGTTATTAGTCTTACTCAGATGCCATGCTATATATATTGGGTTTAAAGAGACTTAATAGATTACCAACGTGTTATTATAAAAATAAGAAGATCTTAAACAGGTGCAATATTGAGTACCTGACTGAGTCTCACCAACTTGTTATTCTTACTCATGTGACGTGGGTATGTTGAGTACATGAGGCTCACCAACATGGCAGTCTTCCTAAATTGCCGTGGCTATATTGAGTACATGAGAGTCACCAACTTGTTAAAAGTCTTAATAAGAAAACGTGGCTATATTGAGTACATGAGAGTCACCAACTTGTTAAAGGCTTAATAAAAAAAACATGGCTATATTGAGTACCTGAGAGTCACCAACTTGTTAAAGGCTTAATAAGATAACGTGGTTATATTGAGTACCTGAGAGTCACCAACTTGTTAAAAGTATTAATAAGATTACGTGGCTATATTTAGGACCTGAGAGTCACCAACTTGTCATAAGTCTTACTAAGATTCTGTGGCTATATTGAGTACACCTGAGAGTCACCAACTTGTTAAAAGTCTTAATAAGATAACGTGGCTATATTGAGTACCAGAGAGTCACCAACTTGTCATACGTCTAACTAAGATACTGTGGCTATATTGAGTACCTGAGAGTCACCAACTTGTCATAAGTCTAACTAAGATACCGTGACTATATTGAGTACCCGAGAGTCACCAACTAGTCATAAGTCTTATAGAGATACAGTGACTATATTAAGTTCCATGATATTTACCAACTGGTTATTAGTCTTACTCAGATGCCATGCTATATATATTGGGTTTAAAGAGACTTAATAGATTACCAACGTGTTATTATAAAAATAAGAAGATCTTAAACAGGTGCAATATTGAGTACCTGAGTCTCACCAACTTGTTATTCTTACTCATGTGACGTGGGTATATTGAGTACATGAGACTCACCAACATGGCAGTCTTCCTAAATTGCCGTGGCTATATTGAGTACATGAGAGTCACCAACTTGTTAAAAGTCTTAATAAGAAAACGTGGCTATATTGAGTACATGAGAGTCACAAACTTGTTAAAAGTCTTATTAAGAAAACGTGGCTATATTGAGTACATGAGAGTCACCAACTTGTTAAAAGTCTTAATAAGATAACGTGGCTATATTGAGTACATGTGAGTCACCAAATTGTTAAATGTCTTAATAAGAAAACGTGTCTATATTGAGTACATGAGAGTCACCAACTTGTTAAAAGTCTTAATAAGAAAACGTGGCTGTATTGAGTACATGAGAGTCACCAACTTGTTAAAAGTCTTAATAAAAAAAACGTGGCTATATTGAGTACATGAGAGTCACCAACTTGTTCAAAGTCTTAATAAGAAAACGTGGCTATATTGAGTACATGAGAGTCACCAACTTGTTGAAAGTCTTAATAAGAAAACGTGGCTATATTGAGTACATGAGAGTCACCAACTTGTTCAAAGTTTTAATAAGAAAACGTGACTATATTGAGTACATGAGAGTCACCAACTTGTTAAAGGCTTAATAAAAAAACATGGCTATATTGAGTACCTGAGAGTCACCAACTTGTTAAAGGCTTGATAAGATAACGTGGCTATATTGAGTACCTGAGAGTGACCAACTTGTTAAAAGTCTTAATAAGATAACGTGGCTATATTGGGTACATGTGAGTCACCAACTTGTCATAAGTCTTACTAAGATGCTGTGGCTATATTGAGTACACCTGAGAGTCACCAACTTGTTAAAAGTCTAAATAAGATAACGTGGCTATATTGAGTACTAGAGAGTCACCAACTTGTCATAAGTCTAACTAAGATACCGTGGCTATATTGAGTACCTGAGAGTCACCAACTTGTCATAAGTCTAACTAAGATACCGTGACTATATTGAGTACCCGAGAGTCACCAACTAGTCATAAGTCTTATAGAGATACAGTGACTATATTGAGTACCCGAGAGTCACCAACTAGTCATAAGTCTTATAGAGATACAGTGACTATATTGAGTTCCATGATATTTACCAACTGGTTATTAGTCTTACTCAGATGCCATGCTATATATATTGGGTTTAAAGAGACTTAATAGATTACCAACGTGTTATTATAAAAATAAGAAGATCTTAAACAGGTGCAATATTGAGTACCTGAGTCTCACCAACTTGTTATTCTTACTCATGTGACGTGGGTATATTGAGTACATGAGATTCACCAACATGGCAGTCTTCCTAAATTGCCGTGGCTATATTGAGTACTTGAGACTCATTAACTTTGCCGTCGTACTCAGGTGACTTAGCTATATTGAGTACCTGAGACTCACCAACTTAATAACGTAAATCCTAATTATGTTTTCTAAAATACAAGTGAAGTAAGATGATACCCGGTATATAAATGTTTCTTTTATATGTTTGTTTCATTTGTTTGTTGGAGTTGAAAGCCACTTCAGACGACCTTAGATATATTATGGCGGACAGTTGTCATTGGTTGATTGATGAGGCTTGAGTATCCAGAGAGAAGGGAAACTGGCAATCCTATCATGTCAGAATGAAATCGAACACATCTCGCCACGAGCGGTGTTCGAACTCACAAACTTCTGAGTTGATAGGCCAGTGATTACCGTAGATGAAGTAAGGACATCAATATCAATAAATATAGCTACCAAATGTTGTCCTGTAACTACATTTATTACATTGGTTGCAATGAATTACATTGATTTCCCAGTGAAATAAAAACCGATAATTTCACATGTGAAATAAACGTGGTTATTTCACTCCTCTGACGTCATACAACAATAGGCGTTGTCAAGACGTCGATAACGTCGGATCAAAACAAATTGTGAATGCGTAGAAAAAGATATAGTTCCTTACGTTTTCTACTTTAATTCCATAAAAAAAGCCATTTGCCAATGTAATAAAAAGAATAACTAATCAAAGAATTCAAATATCGAAAAATATTCAACTCGTGACCGAACAACACTGATAATTAACTCATGCGCTACGCGCATTCGTGAATTAATGTGTTGTTCGGTCACTCGTTGAATATTTTTCTCTATTTGAATTCTTCGATTAGTTATTCTATAAGTATTTGACCTAAAAAGTAGAATGTTTATTCTTGCTAACCTTTTGGGCAGCAGACAGCCCATCGATCGGCAGGATGCACGTGACATGAATAGTCATCGGGACATGGCGTAGTAGATCCTCGACCACAATATATATTGGATAAATAATTGCCATGGCTACAATATGCTGCAAAGACAAAATATATTATATAATTTCAATAACCGAATCAAATAAGTATGTTTTTGATTAAATGGTTGAATCATGGGATTCCGTCAAATATTGTCAAAAGGAATATTTTGTACGAATTAAAATGTAAATTATACATTTCTATGTATAAATCGTGTTTTTTTTATATTTTCACTTCTGGGTAGCTGTATACTTTCTTAGTCTAAAGTTAAAGATTTTGATAAACATTTAAAATGGCAGTATAATTCAATTTGAAATATCTTGCTCAAAATTACAAAATGTATATTTACAAGTCCGTTTTCTCTTCGAACAAGTATTATAATGTGGTTTTTACTGGCCCCACGGGGTGTTTTGATGGGACTACATTTTATATTGCAATATTAACGAACAGTGTTTTAATTAAGTAGACATTTAACTCAATAAAGGGTCCATACTCATACAGACAAGTGAAATCTGATCATAAGACGGTATCTCTAAATGTGATACATGAGGGTGTGGATGGGGGTTTACATAATAGAGAATAACTGGCAAAAATAATAAAGATTAGAGATATATGGACGAAAAAATAAAGAATAGAGAATAATGAGGTGCAAAAATATGAAAAATGGAGAATAAGAGCAAAAAAAAATAAAAAATAGAGCAAAATGGCCTAAATAATTAAAGAAAACAGAATTAAAGGGCCCGCCATCCAGACCCTCATACATGTACGTTAAGAATCAATGGACAAGGTACGATAAGCCCCCGTTTTGGCCCCCCTATTTTCTCATTTTTCAAATTTTGTTTTGGAAAGCTACTTATTATGTTGAAATATTCCCTTAGGTTTGAAGTTTGTTTGGATGAACTTCAAAACCATTAATTTCAGCAACTAGGTGAGATGAGGGGGTGAAAGGGCATCAAAAACGCCAAAAGTAGGAAAAATTAAGATTTTTGGCCTGTGTTTCTTAAAATTTAATAGCGTGCGCCTACGTGACCCGGAGAAAATTATGGTGATCTAGACAGCAAAAACTGTGATAATGATATTGTAATAAAAAAATTCATGGGTCACGTTGGCGCAGGCACTTAAAAAATAAAAAATCGTTGTACCTCCAAAGTGAATAATAATTACAATATCCGAATAATAACGGAAAGGTTACCCCCCTCACCTCATCCAGTTGCTGAAATTAATGGTTTTGAAGTTCATCCAAACAAACTTCAAACCTCAGGGAATTTTTAACATGATAAGTAGCTTTCCAAAACAAAATTTGAAAAATAAGAAAATAGGGGGCCAAAACGGGGGCTTATCGTACCTTGTTCTTTCAATTGAAACCAAAAGTCGATCAATCAATGAATAAGTTTCAATAAAATGAGCAATCGAATTTTATAAAAATGTGTTTAAGGAACTTACGTTTATCAGTCAAGAAAGATTCTGCAATCACAAAGAAACAGAAGAAGCACAGTGCAACAACTCTTCCATCCATCTTAACGTTTCTTATGTATATAATTTAAATATATACTTTGAGCAGTGTAATGAAATATATCACTTTCAAATGTATCTTATAACTAGAACTGTTCAGAACAATTATGGATGTAAATAGAGAATTTCAAGATCTTTATTTCATTTAAGCATGTACACTATTTCCCAAATCTCTTATACTATCGGTTCATAATTTCACTAATTCCATATATGTCCAATTTGACGTAAATTGAAGAATGTTATTCCGTAAACACCCTTAAACAATCCTCCAAACTCCCATGTGCGTCATAATTTAACTGTTAAATTTAAATGATATGCAAACTTATAAATACTATCTAAAGCTCTTAAAATTTACATTGAATATTTATGGACTAGGCTACTTCCGGTCCTTCTACTTAGCAATGGTGGAATGTTGATAACGGTTTATTTAAATTTTGAAAATACTGTCATTATCTCAACATGATACTTACTACTGTGATTTTACTTTATCTTTAACTAAACTTATTGCAATATTTTGCAATACTGATTTGTAATACTTTCAGAGGAAAGTACAAATAGTTTTTTTGTAGATGTTAATATGCTGAATCTTTTCACTTTTACAATTTATCTATTATAGTTTTTAAGACAATTGCAGAATATCTTAAACTGATTTCTTACAGTTTGTTCTGTGCTGTAACACCACATGTTGGGGGAGACTCCAAACACATGTTAATTCCCGCTACATTCTGTATGTGGCTGTCTTATGTCATGTAGGAGCCTGTAATTCAGCGATTGTCAATTGTTATGTGAACATGTATACCATATTTGTTTTTTGTTTATTGTTTTGTACATACATCAGGTCGTTGTTTTTTTTCATTTGAATTATTTTATATTTTGTCATATCGGAGCCTTTTACAGTTTAATTATGCAGTAGGGGTTTATCTCAACGTTGAAAACGTTCACCCATAGTTGCTAACATCTACGTCATTTGGTCTCTGGTGGATAGTTGTCTCATTGGCAATCATACCACATCTTCTTACTTGTAACATTTAAGGCAACAAATATAAAAGAAGTCAATTGATGGATTCATATGGAACGCCATAGCTGCCTTATATGTACTTGTTTCTATATATGCACATACTTGTCTATATATGCACATACTTTTTCTATTATATGCACATACTTGTCTATATATGCACATACTTTATCTATATATGCACATACTTGTCTATATATGCACATACTTGTCTATATATGCACATACTTTTTCTATATATGAACATACTTTGTCTATATATGCACATACTTTGTCTTTATACTTTGTATATATATGCACATACTTTTCCTTTTATACTTTTTCTTTATACTTTTTCTTTATACTTTTTCTATATATGCACATACTTTTTTTTAAATGATCATAACCCCCCCTCCACCCCCCCCCCCCCCCCCCCATTTATGGTATAGATCGCAACTTTGACCTTACATTGTGTTTTGTATTACATGTAATTTATTCAATGTTTCGGGTTATTTTAGGAGATTTTTCAGGTCAACCCTCCTCGGAGCTAGGCCATCCCGTATGTCAACTGAGTTTGTCGATTCCAGATATATTTGTTTAAAACCAGGGGACACCCACTAAGATGCAAATATGTATAGCAAAGTGTCTATCGGATTTCAACTAGAATTTAAAACGTTTTCTTCCACCGAAGACAACTAATAGGCGAAATATACATCATGATACTGAACATGGGGGGGGTTATGATCATTTAAAAAAAAGTATGTGCATATATAGAAAAAGTATACAGAAAAAGTATAAAGGAAAAGTATGTGCATATATAGAAAAAGTATAAAGAAAAAGTATGTGCATATATAGACAAAGTATGTACATATATACACAAAGTATGTGCATATATAGACAAGTAAGTGCATATATAGACAAGTAAGTGCATATATAGACAAGTATGTGCATATATAGATAAAGTATGTGCATATATAGACAAGTATGTGCATACATAGAAAAAGTATGTGCATATATAGAAAAAGTATGTGCATAGAATAGAATAGAATAGAATAGAATAGAATAGAATAGAATAGAATAGAATAGAATATTTTTATTTCTCAAATTACAGGACCCATAAAGGGCATAAAATCAGATACAATTGATTTACATAATTGCATATATAGACAAGTATGTGCATATATAGACAAGTATGTGCATAAATAGAAATAAGTACATATAAGGCAGCTATGGCGTTCCATAGATTCAGGTATCTGACATTTGTGTAGAATTTGTATTTTTGATCATGCTGTGAACAGTAACTCTGTCTTTCTGTTATAGTTGTCAGGAATATAGAAAACAAAACACACAAAAAAAAACCTCTAGAATTATTCAAAAATCGTCATAATGACTATAACACCTAACAGAAGTTCATCTGATAACCTGTGTAGAAATGAATAGTTAAGATTGACCATTACGTTCATGGCATTTTTATGAATGTCAGATAATGTTTACAACAAATAAGGAGATGCAGTATGACATACATAACTACCAGATTGACGTGGATGTAAACAACTATTATAGGTCATCGTACGGTCAACTAAAACCAAAACCCTTATCATATAGAAAGTTATAAAAGGCCCTGACGTTGACAAAATCTTAAACTATTTGAACGATAATACGATAGACATGTATCAGGGTTTTCAAGATATAGTTTCTTAAATTTCCCCTTTATGTTTTATATAAGCTTCGGTGGCCATATTGATTGTTTGACGGTGTTCTATATTACCCATGGTGGCCACATTAATTGGTTGACGAGAACAAACACCGTCATGTTTTACATAAGCCACGGTGGCCATATTGATTGGGTGGCGGGGAACAAAACCCTTTACGTTTAATATAAGCCACGGTCTTCAAATTCATTGGTTTGCGGGAACAAACACATCTAAGTATGTTCTCTATTAGCCACGGTGGCCACATTGATTAGTTGGCGGGGACAAACACGTTTGCTTTATACATTAGCCACGGTAGTAGCCACATTAATTGATTAGCGGGGAACAAAACCTTTATGTTATATATAATTAGTCAAGGTGGCCAAATTGATTAATTGGCGGGGAACAAAACCTTTATTAACTACGATGGCCGAATGCTTTATATAAGCCACGGTGGCCACATTGATTGATTTGCGGAAACAAAAACCATAATGTTTTATATAAGACCTGGTGGCCACATTGATTGGTTGACATGAACAAAAACCTTTATGTTCATTATTAGAAACGGTAGCAATGTTGATTGAATGGTTGGCGTGGAGAAAAACCATTTATTTCATATTCGGCACTGTTTCCATATTGATTGGTTGGCGGGCACAAAATCCTTGTAATAAGTTACAAAAGGAAAAAGATGGTTAAAATTTGTTTGACTCTAGCTATAGGTTTCAGAGAAGATTTTAGACGACAGCCGTCGACGACCAACTAAATCTAAACCAAATATATAGAAATAACACATTGTAACAAATACCCCTTTTTGTAGTATGTAGATGATTTGTGGTTAATGAATACTATAAATAAGAAGATGTGGTATGATTGCCAATAAGAAAACTCTCCACAAGAGACCAAATGACACAGAAATTAACAACTATAGGTCACTGTACGGCCTTCAACAATGAGCAAAGCCCATACCGCATTGTCAGCTATAAAGGGCCCCGAAATGAAAAATGTAAAACAATTAAAACGAGAAAACTAACGGCCTAATTTATGTACAAAATAATGAACGAAAAACAAATATGTAACACAGCAACAAACGACAACCACTGAATTTCAGGCTCCTGACAGGCAGAATATGGCGGGGTTAAACATGTTAGCAGGCGCCCAACCCTCCCCTAACATGGGACAGTGGTGTAACAGTACAACATAAGAACAAACTATAAAAATCAGTTGAAAAAGGCTTAACTCATCAGAAGGATACAAATAGAAATACATCTAACAAAAACACAGAGTAGACGTGGACGGGTACTTGTACATCCCAACATCAAAAAGACTCTAATTACAGATTTGAGAGTACTCGCAGTTACTGACAGCTAGTTCAAAACCAATAACAACTAATAAAAAAAATCATGCATCTAAGACTAAATTATCAATCAGTACTAGTCTTGAAATTTAGTTATATATATTTGCCATGTATTGCTTGCAATGTTGGTGACGATTTATATGTTTTTGTTGTGCAAAGCGAGATAACCAACGTCTTTTTTGGTGAGACTCAAACAGGCTTTTGGTCGTCAATAGAAACATAAAAAACATAGAAACGAAAAAGTTTTTAATATGCCGAGCCTCAATGTTGATTGGTTGATTATTTAAAATCAAGTGGCAAATATTCATACATAATCAGGATGAGAACAAATAAACAATAAATACCAGTAGGTAGGTCCTATCCGGGATGAAGGTTGGGGGAAATTTGGACTGCCACTTGAAAATGAGGGTATATTGGATAGGGACAAAAACTTTGCCTTGCAACAGGCCACCTACGGACCCATCAAAGAGTTGTTGCAGAGGTTCCTAACGTGCAAAGAGCGTGGCACTCTCTTTACACGAGGCATCGGATTCAATGTCCTGAGCGGACGTGGCTGCGTATTTGTATATCCTGCACACGAAGGCCGAAATGGCTCTACCATTGAGATTGTATATGAATTTTGTTGAATAACAAGAACAAACACTCAAACACAACTTATTACAAGTAATAGACTATAATTTTGATTAGCTTGTAAGAAAAATGGAATAAATGAAGATTAGAATAATGCGAATAGTTTGTTGTTTCTTTTGAATTATACTAGTAAACACATCTTTTTTTCATATTATTACATGTACATACTGTATGTATAGGATGAATTTCTTTTCTTGATAGGTTTAAATGTTAAGAGGTTGTAACTGTCAGATACTCGGTGTCTCTGTCAACCACTTAAAATGTATTCTGTGTCTCTGTCAACCTCTTCAAGTAATGATGTCTCTATCAATCTCGAAATGTATTGGGTTTCTCTGTCCATTTTTTCTTGAAATTTTACTAACTTGTGTATACCTTTTTCTTTGATACAAGTTCTCGAGGACCGCTGAGAAAGTGTTTTCTCCACATAAAAATGTGACTGGTATAGGTCAATATAATCCATACTTTGACCTTTAATGGTTTACATTTTACAAATTGTGACTTGGATGGAGAGTTGTCTCATTGGCACTCATACCACATCTTCTTATATCTATTTGTTCTCTAAGATTCACAAGCTGTTTGTAGAGATTTAGTAACGTGCTTGATGAAGTAACT